CTGTGTCTGCCTCTGCATTCACTTCTTGCAATATAGTTTGGTTGAGGTACATGAAGAAAATCAATCTTGGAGAGACATATACATGGGATAGGGAAGGGCCTTTGTAGATGATTGCATTCTTTGATTCCACAATCAGATTCTATAAGTGGTAATTTTTTAAAGGTCATCTGGCTGTTGGAGCCTGAACCTGTATGAGTGACTTTTCATATTCTGTTAAATTAGTATCCATCAGTTTGTGTTTCACTTTGAAGGGATCTTTTTCTACCCATGCACAATTTTGTAGTACCTGTATCAGCCATTTCTAAATAATGGTTCGCTCTTATTGTTGTCGACAACTTTCATTGAATTCAATGAATTCTGTCTCCACTGATCTCATCAGGAAAGTCTTCAAGTATTGAGAAACTGTCAAGCTAGGGATGGCAGATACCGGTTTTTCAAAATTGTGATTTTGCCCGAAAACATGAATTCTGTCACCACCAGTAAAAACTGTTAATTACTTTCCTTAAAGAGACAGACTTGCTTCATTCATTTTTTTTTTTTTTTTTGAGTGGGGGAACTGCCAGATAACTGAGTCTCATGAACTGTAGTACGTTGGTCCTTCTTCAAATAAAAATGGCATTTCATAAAATCAGGAGCTAGCTTGCCATGTATGTAGTCATACAAATGCTTTTTTCTAGAGATAGTCTGTATAGGAGAAGTGCTTTATGTGTACTTTCCATTTTGTCACACAAAGCGTGTGTGCTCAGTGGCAGGATTAATAACAATTTGTACCACTGTATGTAAGTCATTCTTGAATGAAGCTGACTGGTTTTTTTTAACTGCTAATACTTGGTTATGAAGAACAAAATGAGTACTAGGGTACAGTAATTTGGTGCCACTGCCTTTATTATTGATATTAAGGTATCAGTAATTTGCTCACTTTTTAAAAAGTATTTTATTGAGATATAATTCACATACCATACAATTTTTTCATTTGATATGTTACAACATGAATCTGTAAAATAACTTACCCCTTTTCATGACTAATATTTTATTGTGTGGCTAGACCACTTTTTAAAAAATCTAAATAAATACCAGTTGATGGATCTTTGGGTTTTTCCTTGATTTTTAAAATTATTATTAATAATTCTGCCATGAACATTTGTATACAATTTTTTATGTGGATGTACTTTTTTCTGATTTACATCTCTGAGAATGGAATCATTGGGTCATGTGGGAACTGTTACATTTCACCTTTCAGCCCATTTTCCAAGTGATTGTACCATTTCACGCTCCCACTGGTGGTGTTGAGGGTTGCCGTTGCTTCACTTCCTTGCCAATGCTCACCATTACTGGTCTATTTGATGGTAGCTGTCTGAGTGGATGGGTAGTGTTGTCTCATTGTGGTTTTGATCTGCATTTCCCTGATGGCTGACCTACCTACCTTTGTATCATCAGTGCAAATATCAACCTAGTAAAAGAGGCAGATACTGTCTTAGCATTATCATGAAAATAGTCTTGACCCTAGCAGATCTTCTGAAAGGGTTTCTAGGTCCCCATAGGGTCTGCAGACCTACTTGGAGAGCTGCTAATCTGACCAAATGCTAGTCATGCTAGTGGAAAATGTGGGATGTGTCTTTAGTACTGCATTTCTTCTTGCTCTGGCAGGTGGTCTGCTCCTCCTGTGTCCCACAAGAGTGATACTGAGAAGCCTTAGGAGGCCCCTGGCTCTCCTGGGCTCTCTCCACAGACTCCATCCAGGGTCTGGCGTGAGTGGAGGAGAGGGACAGGCATGGCGAGCGTGGAGAGTGAATAGCCCTGGGCGGGAGGAGATAGGGAAGGAACTGGTCCAGTCAGCATCTGGCTCTTCTCTATACTCTATCCACAGAGAGGGAAAGGAGACAAGAATGGATCTGGCCACCGTCTGAATACACAGTAATCTCAGATGACCCTTCTTTTTGAACAAGCATGTCATTCAAATGCTGTCTACTTTGAACCCCAGACATTGTGGTAGATGTTCTACCTACAGGAATATCTCTTATCTCCAGTCTACAGATGAGAAATCTGAGGATGAAAAAACTTGTCCAGTTGCAAATTGTAGGGCTGGGATTGTGATGTAAATGTATTGTTGTTATAAGGAGCAAACCCATCGCATGATTTTTTAAAAAATGAATAAAGAGAAGTAATTACAAGATGGAACTTCTTAATAGCAGGCTTCACCATGAGACATGTCTTAATGACAGCAAAAAGGCACAGAGAAGTATGGAATATTGGAGAGTTAAAAAAAAGAACCCTACTTCCTGTGCTGTGTTTTAATAAAGGAGCTGTGTTCACTGCTCTAGAAAATTGGTGAACGGTCAAGAATTGCCTAGATTCATGTTCCTTGGCTTGATTTTTAATCACATTGAAGTATGACTTCTTACGGATGTTGCTTTTAATTTGTCTTTAAAGCTAGCACAGATACTGCCAGCTTGGGTATGATTGATGGTTTCTGACAATGGGTAGTTACTTCCACTTAGAATAAATGCCAGCCATTCGAAGCTCTCCATTTTTCCTGTAACTGAGAATATCTAGAAGAACCTTGTGCAGTATTGGTTCGTATCCCATATTTTGGTGGGGCTCTTTTCTTTAGTATTTAAAATCTATTAATCATGGACGCTGGAAGAAGGAACTTTATCAAGGCTCATCCCCAATCCAGGGAGGGAAAATGTAAACCTCTATCTTATACCATACCCAAAGTAATAACAAGTGGAGCAAATAATTAAAACAGGTAATTTAATCAGAAAACAATTAGAAGGAAACTTAGAAGATTATTTTACCATTTGGAAATTTGAGAGGGTGGTGTGGAGACACACTGATCAGAGGGTGCAAAGTTTGTTATCAAGGACAAATAAGTTCTGGTGATCCAACTTAGTGACCATACTGACTAGTAAAGTACTGTGTACTTGAAAATTGCTTAGAAAGTAGGTCTTAAATATGTTTAGCACAAAAAAATAAGCATCTGAGGTGATGGATATGTTAATTAACTTGATTTATTTCACAGTGTGTATATATAAACATGTCATAAACTTGTAAATATATACTACTTTTTTATTGATCCATTATACATTAATAAAACTCAAAAGAGAAGAAAATATGGAAGGACTTTCTAAGCATAAAAGCAAGGAAACTTAAAAGAATTGTTAGCAGATTTGGCACCCTAACAAATGAAAAGGCAAATGACAAAAGAGAAAAATATTTGCAACGTTTATGCCTAGATCTAATTTAAAGAACCTCTTACAAATTGATGTGAGAGCACATGTCGAAGGAATCAGCCTTGTAGATACAAATCTGGAGAAGAGGGAATTTCACAAAGAATGGGCAGGTAGCTGTTTTTCAGCTGTGTTGAATGACTGGTAAGAGGAGGACAGAATTGCCCTCTGCTTCTTCAATCCAGCAGGGAGACATTTCAACTCAAAGGAGGAATAACTTTCTCTTTTAGCTGCCTGGTTGGGGGTGAACTCCACCTGGAATTCTGCAAGTGCTGCTTGGTGTGGAGATGGGGTGGGGTGGCCTGGAGCTGCTCGGTGCCACGTGGGCTAGTGGGCACAGTAACCTTTGAAGAGTCCCTCTGACAGTAGTTTTAAATGACAGCTGCAAGAGCTCTGTAGCTTCCCCTTGCTGATCTGCCGAAAGCAACCCAAGCAGTGTGTCCTTCCTTTCCCTGTGAAGAAATAGGCCCTGACTAGAACTGCTTGCAGGGAGGAAAGGCATTCCAGAGAGAGGATGGGAAAGGCTCGTTTGTTCCACGGGAAGTTGCTGGACCCAAGGAGTCAGAGTAGGTTTGCAGGTCCCAGCAGTCAAGGAGGGAAAACCCATAACCGTGGTGTCACTGGGTTCATTGTAAACACCCTGTTGTCTTTTGCAGTCCCTTCCTCTGGTGGGTAAGATCCAAAGTGCACGCTGGGAATTCCCACTCAGAGCCACCTGGGGATTGGCTAGGGTGGAAAAGGGAGGCAGGTTGACTTCTTGCGCCAGGGACAGGTGGCCTGGGCCAGGCGCTCACTTAGGAGTGTTCTGAAGACTCCGAGGCTGAGTGCACATCAAAGCTTTAGCATTGCTCCCCCTGGCTCATGGTCAGCACTTAATAAATATGAACTGTTGTTGCTGTTTTGAACTTAGGAATAGAAAATATGTCTGGCCCAAAGCTCTACCAGCCCTTTCCTCCTGCTGTATAGTCACCCGTAGGTCAGATGAAACAGCTGCACCCTGACCTGAACGTAGCAGCAGCTCCCTAGACTCCAAATGCCTCACTTTCAAATCTGAGATTTTTTTTATTCCACATCTCCTGTATGCTTATCCTCAAGGTTGTTGTGTTCTTACAATATTACAATGTTATGTCCCCAAGTTTAAGTTCTGTCTTTTTCTTAAGGTATCATGCTGATACTTTGAGGGTTACTGTTTTGGTTTGGTTTTGGGTAGGAGTTTTTAAAGAATGGATTTTTCCATCATGTCAGCCAAACCAAGTAATTCTTGGGACATGTTTAGGAATTTTTATTTTAGTTTGTCTCTTTTTTTTTTTTTTTTGAGTGGGAGTCTCCTCTGTCACCCAGACTGGAGTGCAGTAGCTGCTCCTGGCCACCGCAGCCTCCACCTGCTGGGCTCTGGTGATCCTTCCGCCTGAGCCTTCCAAGTAGCTGGAACTACAGGCGCATGCTATCACACCCGTCTAATTTTTGATTTATTGTAGAGATGAGGTCTCACCAAGTTGCCCAGGCGGGTCTCGAACCCGCAGGCTTAGGCAATCCACTCACCTCAGTCTCCCAAAGTGCTGGGATTACAGGCTGAGCCACCAAGCCTGGCTTAGTTTGTCTCTTCATGTTCAGAATTCTTCCTGTCGCTTGCACATGGGTGCTGGATATTTCTCTTGAGAATGTCTGACCTTGATGGCGATTCTTTGGACACGAGGAAGTGTAGATTACATGGTAGTGATTGTCTGCTCAAGGTAGTGACTACATTCTTCCTTTCTCCTTCCTGTCTAGTTTTCAATGGTTCCAGCAGGTCAACGCGGGAGAAAGAACCTGTTCAGAAACACAAAAGCAAAGAGGCCACTCCCGGGAAGGAGAAGCACAGTGATCACCGGGCTGACAGCCGCCGGGAGCAAGCTTCAGTGAACCACCCTGCAGCAGCACCCATCACGGGCCCTTCGGCCAAGGGGCCCGCTGCCAGCCACCACCACCCCCCTCTGCATCGGTTGGCTCAGGACTTACGGAAACAGGTAAAACCTGGCAGGGTGCCTGCATGAGTGCCAGGACCCACCTCCCCATTTCACCAAGCTAAAACCCGTCTGGAGAGGGCTCAGGAAGCAGGAGATGTACTTCAAGGTGAGATGGGGAGAGAGAGGGAAGGTGAGGCACACAAGCACACACCTGCAGTCCTGTAGCAATCCGTCAGGTCATTGTATGTTTGCTTCCATCCCTGGATTCTGCTGCAGTTGTCGGCTGTGTTCCCAAATGAAAGGGGACAGGCTTCTTTCTTTACCCTCTCACACCCCACCCGACCTGGGCTCAGATGAGGGATAGGGGCGTAGGGAGGACATTGCTTTTCTCAGGTTAGACTGACTGAAAGCAGATAGCACAGACGTTGAAAGCAACCTGCACATGCCACAGTCTTGTCAGTGAAGGAGTCCAGTCTATTTTCCTGACTTTTTTTTTTTTGGTGAGTTAATATCTCACCACCCAGACTTTTGAGCAAAAGCCACTGAGCAGCCTGCATGAGATGGGGTGTGGCTGGGTGATGTTTATCTGCTGAACACATTGGAGTCCTGTGCCATTGGCGTGCAGGTGACGACTGCTCTGACTGCAGCCTTCCTCTGCCTGTCCCTGTCCCTCACTCCCCCTTAGAGGGCCGCCTTAGATACCACAGATACTGGAGGGGCCGCTTTCAAGATCGCCTCAGGGCTTGACCACTGCTGCTGTCAGAATGCTGTCATCCCTGGACAGTCATTTCTCACAACCCTGGGAGGTCAGTGGTGGGATGAAGGCAGGTGCCCAGAGGCACATAGCAAGGACTGTCCCTGGATGGGTGGCATTTCAGTGATCCCTGGAGCTCCTGTTCCCCACTCTGTTTTCATATCTGCTGAGTCATGGGGGTCATCAATGAGCTTTCCTGGATGGGAATTTTAACACAGTTAAATTCTTCCCTAGACTAGACCAGATACTGTAGCCTTTAAAGGTATATTTGGAGCAAGGTGGAGAGGGGAAAGGGTGACTCAAAATGTTGTGAAAGCCAGGCTCGGTGGCTCAACCTGTAATCCCATGCTTTGGAAGGCCGAGGTGAGTGGATTGCCTGAGCCCGCGGGCTCGAGACCCGCCTGGGCAACTTGACGAGACCTCATCTCTACAATAAATCAAAAATATTAGCTGGGCGTGGTAGCATGCGCCTGTAGTTCCAGCTACTTGGAAGGCTGAGGTGGGAGGATTGCCGGGGCCCAGCAAGTCAAAGCTGCGGTGACCAGGAGCGGCCACTGCACTCCAGTCTCAGCGACGGAGTGAGACTCCAACTCAAAAAAAAAAAAAAAAAAAAAAAAATGTTGTGAAAATACTGGACTTTATTCTGTGGTGCAAGTGTTCTTTGTCATTCTTGATAATGTTAGGAATATTTCTCTCTGAAATGTGGTCATGTGACTGCATTCACGTGTAGGTGGATGGGTGTGCATGTGCACACGTGTTAACCTTCACCTTTCACATGGTGTTCAGCTACTCAGGGTGGGGTGGGCGAGACAAGAATCATCACATTTCTATTCCCATGGCCCACAGACGCCCACTTCTTCACCCTTTGCCTTGTTATCTTTAGATTAAGCAGGTGATCTGAGCATATTTAAATGCCGGGCACTGCTCTCAAAACATATGTCTTGTTTTCCCAGGCCAAGATGTGGGAAGATTGGGCCACCTCATGTGCTCTTCTGTCCTTGAGCACTGGGCCCCTGATGGTCAACACCAGAGGCACAGAATGGAGGGGACACCATACCTTGGAGTGTGTGTCAGGGTGCACCACACTTACCTTCTGGTTTGGTGGAAACTGTAGAACGCTCCTGCATGTGTTTTTGTTTATGAAAGAGAATAGTATTAGAAGGGACCCAGATAGAGAGGGAGAGACAAAAACAGCAGACCTGGGACCTCAGGGCAGGGTTATTTTTTATGTGTCTTCAGTACATTCCACTGTGCTTTTTTAGGAGCAAAAGCTTACAGCATTGAGTTTACCTATGATGAAATTGTAACCCTAGAGCATTGCTGGGAGTTCGTTAGGATTGAAGGGCGCATCCGGGTGAGCGTCACAACCGCCTGAGAACCCATCTGGGGGTGGGAATGGAGGGCCTGTGGAGGACCGAGTAAGCAGTAGCTGTGTGTCTGTTTCTGCTCACACGCCTGTAGAGACCTGTGTGCACACGCACACTCCCGCACTTGCATTTGTGGGGCTGGGTGCAGTACACCCTTGCCTCCATCCTAGCTCGCCTTCCACTCTGTCCTTGCCCTTCTTTCTATTCCAGGTTCCCTTTGCAACTGAGTGAGAGGAGTTGGCACAGCGGGATGGCACAGAACTGAGGCGAGCAGCAGGCACCTCCCTTGCTCCATGGCATGAGGCTCGGAGGTGGAGGGGAGATCCTGGGATGTCCTTGCAGAGCAGACTCTTATCTGAGTAACTGCAGGAGCCCCAGCTTGCTTCCTTGCCTTGGTATAGTCTTTGCATTGCAGGCAGTGTCATGCACTCAGGCAGGATGGTCCTGCTGCTGGTGACCAGGAGGATAGAGTCTCTGCAGGCAGTGTCACACACTCAGGCAGGGCAACCCTGCCGTTGGTGACCGTAATCCCCTCCATCACTTCTTCCAAATCCCCCCACCCCACCCCCCCGCTAATCAGCCCAGATGGGCTGACCCATGGCTCCTGGTTTCTGATTTGGCTCCAACTCCACCCTTCCCTGTGTCTTGAGATTTGATCTTGACCTTCCCCAGCCCTGTGGTTCCTTGGAGCCAATCTTGCCACCTTCTCTCACAGGGGCGTTGTGAGGAATGAAAGGAAGACTTCATCTCCTCAGATCCCATTAGTTAAGTACTCTGGAAATAAGGTCAATAAAGCCAAATTGTAGATTCCTTTGTGCTGATTGATGCAAATGATGAACCTCTGACCTTTCATCTTCTCAGCTGCATAACAGATATGGGCCCAGAGGATAGTCTGATCTTTAATTTCAAATGGGATGTGTTTTTTTATGTTAGCTTAAAAGAAAAGGATGAACGTGATTGTATGAATTTGTATGAAACTGTGTGGACTGGAGGGATATCACTTTGAGGGGGTGCTGCTGAGACTGCCTTTGCCCTGCTTGTGCTGAACTCGGTGGAGACTGGTCTGAGAGTGTGCCCCCTTATTCCTCGGATAATGCTCTGTACTAGCTCCTGAGCTTTATAAAGGCCTCGAACACATGATGGTGCGCTTACCTGCTTCACATGAGCTCTCTGTCGTGGGATGCACATGCCCAGGTAACATCAGCCCTGGGACTGTTGGAGGGTTGTGGCTGCTTCTGGGTAATGCTTTGGATGTGTGCTATGCATCTATTAAAGGAGCAAATGATGTTTCCTTTTGGTTTCCTGAAATAGAACTTCAGTTGAAATGCCATAGAAGACAGCAAGTTTAGGATGATCAAACTAATGAGCTCATCCCTAGAGAGAGTTCTGAAATGTTAGTTTTCCAGGCATGAGCAGGCATTTCTGAGTCACGAGGAGGTTTTTAGGGTGGTCTGTAAACTAGGATATGTCCCGCCAGGCTGCCCTGAATGTGGACGCGGGCTCTCATATCTCATGCTGAGGCTGAGATGTAACACAGAAAAGGAAATGGTCAATTGGCCACGCGGGCTTACTTGGCAGGACTATCTGGAGAAGAGATTTTCATGTGCAAATGTATATGGGTTGCAGAAAGGACCTGACCTTGAGAGATTCAAAGAGGGCTAAAGAATTAGGAATATTCTTTCAAAATTCTGGAAAATGAAATGGGACTATCTAGCGGGGAAAACAGAAAATTGTCTTAGTTACTAAAAAACTGTTTAAAGGTTTCTTCTCCTGAAAGTATGCTTGCAGTTTAAATTGCACTTAGTGGTGGTGTGGAGGAGGGGTTATCCATACACCTAGGGTCCCTTTTGGAGCAAGTAGGCTACCTTGGCTGCAAGACCTTCCCGTCCTGCTGTTGTGGCCAGTGTGGAGCAGGCTTCTTGCCCCTTCCATAACTCACTGCCCGTCCAGAGGAGTTCTCTGCAGTTTAGGCTCTTTGGGTTTAATTTGAGTTTTGAAGTGCAAATGGACTACTCCCAGCCACCAACTGTTTCTCTCTTTGGGTCGTGCTCTGTTTTGAAAGCTGGCAGAAGCCTTGGTTCAAGGGCTCCCCCTCGTGGGGCACAGGAACTTGGCAGTGGCGTCTGGTTGAGCTGAGGACAGGCATCATAAACTTGGGCGACTGAAACATTTTTGCTTAGGTGACCAGAAACATCATAGAGTTGTTTCTCATCTTTTGCTCTGCCTTGGACTTTTGTGTTTTCCCCTTTCATCTGTCATCTTATTGAGTTGATTTAAATGTTGTGTGTGTCGATGGTGAGATAGAGAAAAAAAACAGCAAGGTGTGGGGGAGTTTTACATCCTTAAGAATAAGCGCTCAGTCAGGGTGTAGACTGGGTGCAGTGTTTAAATGGAGTGTCTGTTCAGAACCAAGTCAAGAAGGAGTGCTTGATGTCCTGGGCTTTCCCAGCATCCCTCACCTGAAATCCCTTCTGCAAGAAAAAGGAGCTGGTTTTTCTGGGGGGCTGCAAGTACGAGTCTGGTTGAATGTAACTGGAAGACGTGTTCAGTCCTGCCTGTTGAATTGGAATCATTCTTGGCTGGTGGCTCACGCCTATAATCCCAGCACTTTGGGAGGCCAAGGTGAGAGGATTGTCTGAGCCCATGGGTTCGAGACCAGCCTGGGCAACTTGGTGAGACCTCATCTCTACAGTAAATAAAAAAATTAGCCAGGTGTGGTGGCGTGTGCCTGTAGTTCCAGCTACTTAGAAGGCTGAGGCAGAGGATTGCCTGAGCCCAACAGGTCGAGGCTGTGCTGGCCGTCAGCATGGCACTACACTCCAGCCTGGGTGACAGAGTGAGACTCCAACTCAAAAAAAAAAAAAATCATTCTTTTATTACTAGGCCGTGTGCCTGGGATCACCTGAGATACAGTTGATGGGTGTTTTGCACCAAGGAGAACAACTGAAGACACCTTACTTTCTGTAGAGCTGGGGAGCTGGGGATTGTAAAGCCCTAAATCCACCTGAGAGCAAAGAGCAGGAACAGCTAGAAGTGCTGATATAAAGCTGCTCAGCTCCAGTGTTTCAACTGGTGGGTATTGGCGGGTCCCGCCACAGGCCACCTCTGATTCTCCAGTGAGTTCAGATGGCTTCTCCTGGGTGTGCTCTTGTGTGGAAGCCAGTCTCCTCAAGGTGCACTGACTGCCAGGGCCACAAGGCTTTAATTGCTTCAGAGGCGGCTGGGGGGATCCTCAGTGGTAAGGTAAGACAATGGCTTCCTCCATTCTTTTGTTTTCTTTGGTACTGATTAAACATTGGCTGGCTAGAGGCAGGTGCAGGCCAAGAAAGGGGTATCTTTGTGTTAGATTGGGTAGTCCTGGGTTCTTCCCAGCAGTGGGCCTGGTTAGCTTGTTGGTCTGTTATTCCTCGCCTTTAAGGTGTATGGGGGGGGAGGGCGCAGATTGCTTCCTGTGATGGCTGGTCTGCTGCCCTTTGGGGTCTTCTGGGCATAGAACACTGACTCTCTATGTGGGGAGCGAGAAGACAGCCAACTCTTGTCCTTTTCAGTTTTCATAGTTTATGTCTCTCTATATTAAACGTCATTGTTTCCTGTTGGGGGTGAGGTCTATGCAGTTTCCAGCTCGTATGAATGTACATATTTGGGTGGATACTGTGGATGTACGTGTGACGATAGTGAGAGAAGAAATGGATTGACAAGTCGTTTCTCTTCTAGAACAAGCTGGATGGATGTACATCTTGACAATAACCCAGTATTTAGGTTTATAGAAACATATAGACACCAAGGGGATCTTTTTGCCGTTGAAGACAGTGACATCTTCACACAGTATTCAACCTTGCCTCTCCGTATCATAGCTAGCCAGGAAGTCCAGTGCCCCCTAGAAGGCAGATGGCTATACCCAAAGGCCCTGCACTCCTATATGAGGTGGAACATGAGAGACGTGGCCCCCTGGCTTCCCAGCCCCCACATGTGAGCAGTGGATTTGTGGGAAGACCAAGCCATCGGGTCATCTTCTGATTCCCTTTCTCAATCATCGCTGATTAGATCACAGTCTGGGGTGGGGTTGCTGTGGCATCTGCATTATGTTAAAGCTCCCCAGGGATTTTCAGGGGGCCCTGGTTTGAGAAGCACTGAACTAAAACTAAACCTCCGCAAGAAGTGACAGCTGATGCCTGGACGGCTCCTGGTAGGAGCTGGCTATGTCTGGCACCATCCGGAGGCTGCTATTTTGACAGGCAATTCCCCGTCTGCAGGAAGAGACGAAGCCAGGTTGTACAGCCTGCTTAAGGGTGTGCTAAGGGTAGAGTTGGAACAGGCAATGCCCCCAAGGGCTAAAAGGAGATTAAGCTACCTGCAGGCGTGTTGCCTGCCACCATTCAGAGGAGGCTAGAGCCCTCCCCGGAGTTCCTGGATACCTGCGGTCTGTGTATACCTTAAGTCCTCAGGTCTTTCATGCAGGAAGTAGAGGCTCGCTCCAGCAGGAGTTTACTGTTTGCTTTTGTTCTTCTAAATGTTTTGTCTTGTTTTGGCTTTAGCGAATAGAAGCATTTGATAGAACAGAGGCCAGGCACAGTGTCTCATGCCCATAGTCCCAGCACATTGGGAGGCTGAGGCAGGAGGATTGCTTGAGCCCAGGGGTTCGCGACTAACCTGGGCAACCTAGTGAGACCTCAGCTCTACAAAAAATTGGCTGGGTGTGGTGTTGTGCACCTGTGCTCCTAGCTATTTGAGAGACCGGGGCGAAAGGATCACCTAAACCCAGGAGTTCAAGGCTGTGGTGAGCTGTGATCGTGCCACTGCACTCCAGCCTGGGTGATAGAGTGACAACATGACTTGAAGAAAAAAAAAAGAAGGTATCTGATAGAACAATTAAAGAGAGATTTGCATTTTTCACTGTACCCCTTTTACCAAATGGTGGTACTTACTACAGAAAATTTATTTCTGCCCTCACCTTGGGTTTTATAAATTGGTTTTAAATGTATGACTCTCCTCCACCCCAAAAGAGTTTCCCATTATTTATTCCAGACTCCATCTTTGTAGGATGACTAGTGGTCTCGCAGCCAGAATGCAGTTCCTGGGTCTTCTTTCACCCTCTCCAGTGAGCCTGCAGTCCTGGCTCCAGGTGCCACCATAAAGTCATGGCTTTGATTGGACCACATATAATCAGTGTCATGGACAGAAATATAGGTCCTGTGGCTTCTTTCCTTTTCTGTTTTTATAAGCTTCTACTGATACTTGGTTCAGTGGTTCTCAAAGTTCAGTCTCCAGACCAGCAGCACAGCATCACCCCTAGTCAGGAAAGCACATTCCCAGGCCCATCCTGGCCCCACTGAGTTAGAAGCTTCTGTGGAGGGGCTCCGTGATGTTGTTTTGACAAGCCCCCAGGGGATTCAGAGAGCCCCTAGTTTGGGTGCTTGTGGGGAAGTTTGATCCTGACCCTCAGCCCTGTTTAAGCTAACTGCTCACTCCTGGATCAGGCCTGGAATAAGGGCAGAGGTCACTAAGACTCAATTCACGTTGGCTGGGACCCTACCTCGTAGTGGTGAGGGCAGGCTGCACAGCCTCATGGTGGCGCTGGGTGTCACAGTGCCCTCGCGGCCATGGCCGCATGTGGTCAGCATTCCTGACTAGGAAGTGTGGGCTCCTTCCACCCTGGCACCACCTTCTCAGGGATTATTGGGTAATTTTTCAGTTGCCTGATAATGGTGGTTATAAGAAAACCCTGGAGTCCCTGACTTTAAACACATGCTATAGATGAAAAGGGATGCCCAAGTGGTTAATTGACATGTTAAAGACTGCTCACCTGCGGCAGTGGCAGAGTTGTGATGCTGCGACTTTCCCTGAAAGCAGCGAGCCCCACTGCAGTTTCATTGGGGTTCCTTTGTCATTCTTGCTTGGAAGTTCTCTTGTGCCTGGTGGCCACCAGTGTCACTCCCTGTTTTCTCTGACGTTTATGTGTCCCAGATTTGCTGTGGTGTCTAAGCTGTAAAACAGCTGGCACAGAGGGGCTGCCTCTGTTTGCCCAGGTCACCAAACGTAGAATCAGGTGGGCGGTTTGTTGCAGGAGATAAGGAACCACTTGTGCAGAAAGGGGATGGCGTGCTTAGCTCCACCGGGGAGGCGGAGGCATCTGTCTTGACCCAGCACCACCCTCTCAGGGGCTTCTTGCCAGAAGGAGGACAGACAGGCAGCTGGAGAGTGTTTGCAGCCACACCCCTGTACTTGGCCCTCCCACACAGTCAAGCCATGAGTGCTGTTGTCCTTTACCTCCCATGGTATTCCTTTCTTTCTTTCTGTTGTACGTCTTTCTTTCGGTTTTTGAATTCTGTGGGCAGGTCGTGCTGCTGTGTGAAACACACAAAGAACAGCAGACATGGCTTTCTTGGAATGGGGGAAGGTGTTTGTGTATGTTTCCTCACTTTCTCAAACAGGCAGGGTCCTGCTGTCATAAATGCCAGTGAACGTGAGGCAGGTGAATGTGAGGCCCATGTGCAGGTGAAACTGCATTTCCTGGAAGAGCCCTGGGGACAAATTGGAACTTAAAAACGCACCTAGGAAAGCCCCGCTGGGAAGTGCCTGGGGCAGGCTGTGTGTTTCTGTGCAGAAGGATAGGCGCGTCGTGGCATCTGAAATGGAACATCCCTGTTCCATTCTTGGAAGTGTGTTTTGCTTCCCTTTGCTGGTGTCCCCTGTCATTTCTCATCACAAGCAGGCAGCTGGCTCTGTCACCACTGCCCAGAGCCTTTTCTCACACACAAGCCGCTCACTGACTGAGCTGGTACTAACTCTGTCTCCCCGCCCCTCTGCTTCTGCTGCCTCTACAGGTTTCTAAGGTAAACGGAGTCACTCGAATGTCATCTCTGGGTGCAGGTGCAGCCAGTGCCAAAAAGATGCGCGAAGTCAGACCTTCACCATCCAAAACTGTGAAGTACACTGCCACGGTGACGAAGGGGGCTGTCACATACACCAAAGCCAAGAGAGAACTGGTCAAGGAAACCAAACCCAATCACCACAAGCCCAGTTCTGCCGTCAACCACACAATCTCAGGGAAAACTGAAAGTAGCAATGCAAAAACCCGCAAACAGGTGCTATCCCTCGGGGGGGCGTCCAAGGCCACCGGGCCCGCCGTCAATGGCCTCAAGGTCAGTGGCAGGTTGAACCCAAAGTCATGCACTAAGGAGGTGGGGGGGCGGCAGCTGCGAGAGGGGCTGCAGCTGCGGGAGGGACTGCGGAACTCCAAGAGGAGACTGGAAGAGGCACACCAGGTGGAGAAGCCGCAGTCGCCCCCCAAGAAAATGAAGGGGGCGTCCAGCCCCACCGAGGGCCCCGGCAAGAAGGCCCCGGCCGAGAAGGCTCTGCTAAATGGACACGTGAAGAAGGAGGTGCCCGAGCGCAGCCTGGAGAGGAACCGGCCCAAGCGGGCCACGGCCGGCAAGAGCACGCCCGGCAGACAAGCACACGGCAAGGCGGACAGCGCCTCCTGTGAAAACCGTTCTACCTCGCAACCGGAGCCCGCGCACAAGCCGCAGGACGCGGGCCGGCCCGAGAAGGGCGGCGGCAAGGCCGGCTGGGCAGCCATGGACGAGATCCCCGTCCTCAGGCCCTCCGCCAAGGAGTTCCACGACCCGCTCATCTACATCGAGTCGGTCCGCGCTCAGGTGGAGAAGTTCGGGATGTGCAGGGTGATACCCCCTCCGGACTGGCGGCCCGAGTGCAAACTCAACGACGAGATGCGGTTCGTCACCCAGATCCAGCACATTCACAAGCTGGGCCGGCGTTGGGGCCCCAACGTGCAGCGACTGGCCTGCATCAAGAAGCACCTCAGATCTCAGGGCATCACCATGGATGAGCTCCCACTCATAGGTGAGACTGGGCGGGGCCCTCCCTGCCCATGGATGCTTCGCCCCTGCCTCAGGAGGAGGAGTTGCTCCCAACTGATTCACCCCACGGCCCCTTTTCCCCAGGTCCTGGGCATGTGTGGCAGGCGGAGACTTGGTATTGGGGGCTTAGAGCTTAGTTTGGCCCCCACTGGGCGTTCGCCCCCCGTGGGCTGTCGCAGGCTGCCCAGCAGTGCTGGAGATGGGCAGGGTCCTGGGAGACAGGGAGGAGCACTGCCCCTCTGCATTCTGCTAGGGCTGCAATGACAAGGTGCCACGGGCTGTTTGGCTTAAACAACAGCAGTTCCTCACAGTTCAGGAGGCTGAAAGTTCCAGACCCAGGTGTCAGCAGGTTGCTTTCTCCTCATGTATCTCCCAGGGTCAGAAGACATGGTCTTCCCTCTGGGTGTGTCTGTGTCTTCATCTCTTCATAAAAGGACACCAGTCATTGGATTAGGGTTTACCCTCGTGACCTCATTTTAGCTTATTTTCCTGTAATGGCCCTGCCTCTAAGTACATTCACATCCTGAAGACTGGGGGTTGGGGCTTCTGCGTACAGATCTGTTTCATGGTGCACCCCATAAAACGCCCTTGTAGATGGCAGGTGGGTTTTTCATCTTTCTGATCCTTGTCTCTTTTCTGCTCTTCATTATTCCTTGAGCTTCAGTTTCCCTGGTGACCAACTGGGCTGTTGTTTTTTTGTTTGTTTGTTTGTTTGGGGTTTTTTTGAGTTGGAGTCTCACTCTGTCACTCAGACTGGAGTGCAGTGGCCGCTCCCGGCCACCGCAGCCTCGACCCACTGGGCTCCGGCGATCCTTCCGCCTCAGCCTTCCAAGCAGCTGGAACTACAGGCGCACGCTACCATGCCCGGCTGATTTTGGATTTATTGTAGAGATGAGGTCTTGCCAAGTTGCCCAGGTGGGTTTCGAACCCGTGGGCTCAGGCAATCCATTCACCTCAGCCTCCCAAAGTGCTGGGATTACAGGCTGAGCCACCAAGCCCGGCTAGGCTGTTGTTAAGGCCACAGGTTGAAATTTCTTTTGAGACCAGGTGTAAACGCTACAGTGAAGCCCATTTCCAGCAGGGTGGGTCCCAGGCTGAGCCTGCTCACGGGTGCTCCTGTGGCTCTCCTTGTCGTCCTTGCCTCGGTCCCTGCACTAAGGATACAGGACAGAGGATGAACTCACTCTGTCAGGGCAGAGTGGGTTCTGTGCAGTGGGTTGCAGCCAGGTAAGGTCGCACAACCCCTTTTGGCTCTGGATCTGTGAGAGGAAACAAGGTGTGCCTCCTTTTTGGACAGCCGGAGATACTTGGAGATTATACAAGTATCAAGAGACGGTAGCGAGATAAGCTTCCTTGCCAGATGGAGGTTTCCTGATTCCTCACAGCAGTGCCTGCCAGGGCTGAACTACTTAACTGAAAGAAGTCTTGGTCTGCGGTTTGTTGTTGGGGGAGGCACATGAGTGGTGGTGGCACAGGGGGCAGGCTCTGCACCCGCATGTACCTGGTGCTGTGGACCACGCTCCCTGGGCACTAGAGATCCACTCTGAGTTCTGCCACCTGTGATGAGTCCTGTGGAGAGGAGGGAAAACCTCCAGATCCTGCTAGGTAGATGCTGGGGCTGTCAGGGCACTGGTGACGTCATGGTGACAGTCAGTGGCCTGTTTTCTCTTAGACCTGGACTCCCTCACCCAGCACTGGAGGCCAGGCCAGCACTTCACTGTGGTGTGCACCTGTGCTCGCAGCCATCACCTAGCAGTCTAAGGTGTCTGAAGGTCTGTCAGAGGGTGCTGACCTGCCTGTTAGCCCCATTGGGGACCGCCCATTTAGGGGAACCAGTTCAGTCATTTATCAGCAGAAGGGGCTTAACAGCTGTGAGGTGATTTCCTGGAATCCACCACAGTGGGTGAATCTTCTGCTTCTTTGAGGGTGTCTGCCCAAGCCCTGAGGGTGGGGGGTGATCGCAGTGGGTGAGGATCCCATGAGGAAGTTTCTGCAAGTACTGGATGATTTTCAGGTGCTGTTGGATTATGATAATCCATGTACAGAAGAATACAAACATACACATTTCCTCCCTTCTGGTTTGTGTTCTGAGCCACTTTGGCACAGCTGGGGGACGCATCTTGTTGTTCACCTCGACAAGAGGAGGCAGCGTCCCACCACCCCCAGGAAAGAAAACTCCCGATTTCTAGTGACCGCCACCTTGAGCCCCACCTGTGGCTTTGACACTCTGAGACCTGGGGCAAGACATGGGATCACAGACCTCGGGTCCCTCCTGTTGGAGACTGGGGCGGCTTCCTCGCTGCTGTTGCCCACTCTGCCCCCTTGCCCACAGCCACATCACCGTCCCACCAAGCAGAGGAAGTGGGGTTCAGGCTCAGGGCTCCCAGCTCCTGACATACCAGGTCTCATGCCATCTCGGCCCAGGGTGGTCCAGGTACTCACACAGTGGGTCCCGTGATGCCCGGTGTCTGCAGGGCCCCCACTTGTTCTGTGCTCTGATGCTGGTCTCAGGTGGCCCTTAGAGTCCAGCTGGAGCCATGCTTGCTTTCCCTTTTATTTTTGATATTTTTGATGATTTTTACTTTGTTCATCTAGCATTTTGTTGACAGTTATTTTGGAAGATCTCCCACCGCCTTTACATTGTGTGGTTGGAGGGAGGTTGCTTTTCCAGTTCCCATCTAGGGAGAGTCGCAGGTGTGCATTTCAGCACGTAAGAGTTGTGATGTTCGTTTGCACCACTCTGATTGGGTTGAGAGCAGCAGTGAGAGCTAGCCCTGTGCATCCCTCTAAGATAAGCAGGCCCTCCATCTGGGCGGGTGAGGGAAGGGGCTGGGGAACAGCCCTTTGTTCTGGAAATCTAGGGAAATTCAAGATGAATTCCTTGCATGGGGGTGGGCATGTGTTGGGGGTTTTAGAAAGGGGTTGGGTGTTGGTAGGAAGTGTGTGTGTCTGCAATTTCCAGCATCAAAGTGTTCCACGTGATGCAGGACCATGGGTGCAGGGGTGGGCTAGGAGCAGGAAGGGGGGGGCCCCGACCGTGCCCTGTCTGGGATCAACTTCTTTTCTTGTTATATGTGATACTTAGTATGTGTGAATGGTGCACAATGGCACATGCCACCCTGGGAAGTCCCTCCACATGTGTCGGCATGGCCAGTTCTCTTCTTCGTCCCAGCCAAGGCCCTGCTCAAAAGCAGCCCCCTCAGATGCCTTTCCTGGCCATCCCACCTGAGGGGGTGGACTCTTGGTCCGCTTAATCTACATAGCGCTTGGCTATGGCCAGTCATTGCTACCTGTCTGGCATAGGCAGGAAGCCACTGTTTGCTGCTCCTACCTCGAAGCCTAGCCAAGTCCTGGCACACAGCAGGCATTTGGGAACTCTAGGTCCAGGGAGGAGGGTCTTGTCCATGTCCTTCTCGCCAACTGTCTTGTGTTTTCCCCTCATCGTCCCAGGAGGCTGCGAGCTCGACCTGGCCTGCTTTTTCCGACTGATTAATGAGATGGGCGGTATGCAGCAAGTGACTGACCTCAAAAAATGGAACAAACTAGCAGACATGCTGCGCATCCCCAAGACGGCCCAGGACCGGCTGGCCAAGCTGCAGGAGGCCTACTGCCAGTACCTGCTCTCCTACGACTCCCTGTCACCTGAGGAGCATCGGCGGTTGGAGAAGGAGGTGCTGATGGAGAAGGAAATCCTCGAGAGGCGCAAGGGGCCGCTGGAGGGCCACACGGAGAACGACCACCACAAGTTCCACCCGCTGCCCCGCTTCGAGCCCAAGAACGGGCTCATCCACGGCGTGGCCCCCAGGAATGGCTTTCGCAGCAAGCTCAAAGAGATGGGCCAGGCCCAGCTCAAGACAGGCCGGCGGCGACTCTTTGCTCAGGAAAAGGAAGTGGTCAAGGAGGAGGAGGAGGACAAAGGTGTCCTTAACGACTTCCACAAGTGCATCTATAAGGTACGGGCCTCCTGCCTGTCACCTGCCAGCTCCTCGCAGACCCAGCCCTGCGGAGCACCTGCCCCAGCTATAGGGATGAGGGAGGCATGGGAGGGCACTGGGCACGGGTGGATACCCTTCAGTGTCCTGGGGGAGTGAGGGAGGGGACTGGCTGCTGAGCTTCTATAAAATACCACTGACTGGGTAGTTTGTAACAAACAGGAATTTATTGGCTCTTGGTTTTGGAGACTGGGAAGTTCGGCATGAAGGTTCTGGCGAGGTCCTTCTCGCTGCGTCTTAACTTTGTTAGAAGGTGTCACATGATGGGCAGAAGATGGGGGGGTGAACCTGCCTTAAGTTAACAGCATGTGTATACTCATGCCTGCCCTAGGCCTTTGGTTTCCTCTTGTAGCTGGTGTGTGTGTATGTGTGTGTGCGCATGCATGCCTGTGCCATGGATGAGGCAGCTAGGACACACGTGTGGTTTCTCCCACGTCCACCACTCTATGTCTGCCATGCTGAGCACCCCATCTCATCCGGTGCATGACAGCTGCCTGGACACGTTTGGGCTTCTCACCGGCCAGGCCCTCCATGAGCTCTGAGCACTCATGTTTTCTGCTGTATTTCCATTCTGCCCAGCTTGCTGCCTTCCAGCTCCCAGACCCCAGCCCGGCATTGCTAGGTCCTATCTGTGTGGAACCAACCTAATAAAGCTATCAACACGGATCTAGCCATTAACACACTGTGGAGGGAGGAGGGGAGAGACCGGCAAATGGAAACGCGCACTAGGGTTTCCTCAGTCCTGCCAGATCTTGTTGCGGCACGAGGCATCCTGGGAAGTCAGTGGCTCTCCAGCTCGGAAGCGAGCCTTAGGGTTGCCCGTAGGCCGCCCCGCTCCCCCAGCCTGCCAAGGGGGCAGCAAGGCAGAGCCCGGCTATGCCTTTCAAGCTGCAGTCTCTGCAGAACTGCCTGGCACAGACTGGTCCCCTGTGCTCCCAGCTCGGAAGTGTTCTCGAGTGAGCTCTTAGTCCAGCAAGCCCCTCCCGGCCCTTCTGAGTCTGGTAGGCGTGTCTGGCTGATGAGTTTCTGCTGCATTGGGAATTGGCAGCTGGTTATCACCCCCCCCCCCACCCCCCATGTGCGCAGGCCGCTTCCCTTCAGGCCCTGGCCTGTCCCTGCCGTTGAGATGACACAGGCTTCGGACTCCATCACACACGCAGTCACACAGACCGAGTCTGGCTTTTCTCCTGGCAGTCCCACCTCAGGCTGCATCCATGACATTTTTAGTTTTTCCCGAGCTTCAGCCCTTGAAAGCGTGTCTGGAAGCAGGCTCCCGGTTTGCCTGCAAGTTTTCCTGGTGGTAGACCCCGGAAGGGGCTGGCCGTCTTTACTTTGATTCCCTAGTCCCCTTGCTCAGCCCTGCCTGGTAGGACCAGGTGTGGGGGGTTGCCCGGGTGCTGCCTGTTGCCTGCTAATGCCGAGCCTTCTTGGGTTGACTCCTTGAATATTGTCATTTGAAGGAACTCTAAGCTCTGCGGCACTTTATCTGGCATTTCCTGAATGCCTGAGAGGCCTTCCTCAGGTAGAGCTCCCTCCTTAAACCCTGTGACTCTGAATGGGCGTCTCAAGACACGAGATATTGTTAGCGTTTCTCACTTTTTGTTTAAGAAGGCCAATCTCTACAGCCAGGCACAGTGGTTCACACCTGCAATCCCAGCACTTTTTAAGCAGAGTGCCCTGGCAGAGACCTCCTGGGCTTCCTGTGTCCTTGGTTTGTGGCTCAGGGAGGGGTCAGCTGCTCTGCTTCTGGCAAATAATGGGTCAGTTTTGTGCCTCACAGAGATGGTGGTTGGTGAAGTCTTCTCTTCTTGAGACTGTGGATTTTTACGGAAAACTCTTCTGCCTTGCTTGTTCTCACCTGGGACACAAAGTGATCCATGGCTGCAGGGAAACCACAGGCAGAGGCCCATGGCGGGTGTGTTGGCCTTGTTTCCAGAGCTTTACTCTCTGTTTTTGTTTTCAGGGAAGGTCTGTTTCTCTAACGACTTTTTACCGAACAGCAAGGAATATCATGAACATGTGTTTTAGCAAGGAGCCTGCACCAGCTGAAATTGAGGTGAGTGAGTGGGGCGTCCCCCGTGTCGCCTCCTGTGATGTGGGAACCCCTGGTGAGCCCCGAGGCCTGGTGAACTGAAGAGACTCAGATGGGTACATCCTCCGAGTTAAGAGTGCACTGGGGGAGCTACAGGTTTTCACTTGGGTTGATCCAAACTTGTTCAGAACCTAAGGAGGGTAATGGCAGTGAGATGCGGAGCTGGGTTGGGGGTGGGGCGGGAATTCAGGGCTCTTCTCAATCCCCAGCCCCTCCTGCCAGCCACGCCCCACTCAGCTGCTTCCCACCCCATCCTAACTGTGTCTGTTATGCAAGAGAATGTTTGGAATCCCTTGAAACCACAGTTGTGCTTTTTCTTCTCTTCTATTTTTTATTTAATGGGATTGGCAGATTGCCATTTTTGTGCTCCTGCCAACTCTCTTCTTTGAGTTAGTTTGAGGTTGGAAAGACAGTGAGCACTTCTGTGCCCAGACCAATTAGGGGCGTTTTTGTGTGCGGCGCTGCAGGACAGAGACCGGATCTGTTTATTTACCTCCTCTCGGCCAGTGCCCAGCTGAGCCCGTGTGAACTTCCAGCTGCTGACGTCGGTGGGCTTTCGGCGGCGCTTGGTCATGGAAAGGGAAAGAAACCAAACCCCGATCGCTGGTGATGGGGCAGCTGCTGACCGGGGTGCAGCAGGCGTTTGTTGAGCACAGCCTTGTGTTTTGGCATGTGATAGGCTCTGGGTCATTTTTTTTCCTCTGATGATGTGCCACCTCTTTCAAATCCAGGGTGGTTCTGCCCTGTATGTGTTCCCCACTGGGAACTCAGCCATCCTGCTTTGCCCAGGTTTCCTGGAAGTAGGACTTCAGACCTGCTCAGACCAGAATGACTGGCCAGCCTCCATATGGGGTAGGTGCCACACCTCCTGATGGCACAACTGTCAGGCCCCAGGAAGTTCAGCTCGCAGCTCAAACCTGCTTTCCTATTTTGGGGAAAGCGATGTTCTTTTTTTTTTTCTGAGTTGGAGTCTCACTCTGTTACCCAGGCTGGAGTGCAGTAGCACGCTTATGGCCACCATAGCCTTGATCTGCAGGGCTCCGGTGATCCTACCGCCTCAGCCTTCCCAGTATCTGGAACCACAAACGCGTGCCACCACACCCGGCTAATTTTTTTCTTTTTATTTTTTGAGTTGGAGTCTCACTCTATCCCCCCAGACTGGAGTGCAGTGGCCACTCCTGGCCACCGCAGCCTCGACCTGCTGGGCTCCGGCAATCCTTCCGCCTCAGCCTTCCAGGTAGCTGGAACTACAGGCGCACGCTACCATGCCCGGCTCATTTTTGATTTATTATAGAGATGAGGTCTCGCCAAGTTTCCCAGGCGGGTCTCGAACCCGCGGGCTCAGGCAATCCACTCACCTCAGCCTCCCAAAGTGCGGGATTACATGCTGAGCCACTGAGCCCAGCTATACCCGGCTAGTTTTTTGATTGATTGTAAAGACGAGGTCTCGCCATGTTGCCCAGGCTGGTCTCGAACCCGTGGACTCAGGCAATCCTCTAGCCTCAGACCCCCAAAGTGCTGAGATTGCAGGCGTGAACCTCCACGCCTAGTGTTGTTTATTTTTAGCACCAGTTTAGGACTTGGCTCTCTGCTGAGTGCAGGGCTGCCCTAGCTGTGCGTGGGTATGGCTGTGGTCACTGTACTGCAGCTGCCCCGCCTCCCGTTGCACTCACCAGGACATCAGCGGAGTCTTGGTCCAGGACACTTGTGGCTGTCACAGATGCTTGCAGGGCATGCGTGGCATTGGTGGTAGTGATGTCTGGGAGGACGCGAGCCTTGCTGGGGTTGGGAAGTGAGGCCTTGGTTGCAAGGCACGTGTCCTTGGGCGACTCCCGGAGGTTTTTCACGATCCATGGTGTGCAAGGAAGGTTAGCTCATTTCACAATTTCCCATGCAGGAACTAATTCCCTCTGAAAGTGTGGATTTTGCTCCAGCAGTTTGTAAATATTTAAACACAAAGGGAAAGAGATGCTAGAATTTAAATTTCAGTCTGGGTTGCCTAGCTTCCTGTGGGCCTTTCTCTCGGCCGGTGGGCAGCAGCTGGGGGTGGCCACCCCTCAGGAGTCCCTTTCTCCCTCTCCCACATCTTTGTTGATCCGTCAGAGGTTGGTTGGTCTCAGTCTCAGCAGATGGATGACAGGGCCTGGGACTGATGAGTCTCGTCATTCAGACTCTTGCTTTATTCCTTCCTTTCGAGGAAAGCTGTTTATAGAATCCAGTCCTTTAATGATGTTGAATCCATTCCTGATGTACAGACACTTGACACCCCAGCCGATTCCGTCTTTGTAAAGCCACACAGCGTGGTGGCGGCCTGCGTTGGCATTGCCAGGAGCACGCTTTTGAGCTGTATTGTACGAGACTTGCTGAGTGCTTACCTGCGAGGCTTCTCTCTTAAGTGTGTCTCTAGATTGGCAGGGTGTGAACTTAGGGAAGATGACAGTGTGCTTCTGGAGTGACAGTCGAGAAGGGAGTAGAAAGGCGCCTCTGAGGAGGGGGCTGCCCAAGGACACACCAGTGCGGTGCTGCCATGCCGCAGTCCTTGCACGTTCTCACCCACTCGGCCCCCGTCATCACCGAGATGGACCCTAAAGTCATGTGGAAAGCTCTTGAAAACCTGCAGGTACTTCACTGAGCATAATGTCCTCCAGGTTCCGTGCTGCAATGTGTGCCAGGGTTTCCTTCTTTTTAATGGCTGAATAGCATCCCTTGGTGTGGATGTGCCATGTGGCGTTTCTCCGGTCACCTGTGGGCGGGCCACGATTGCTTCCGCCTTGAGGCAGTGGGGGTAAGACTGCGGTGGCACGGCCCTCTGGCATTTTGGGCATTTCCCTGAGGCGACCTGCCATTGCTTTCTTCGTTAGCGTTCTGTTGCAAGCCTTCTGCCAAGGCTTAGCCACATGGCATCTGTCCTGCTGGGCCCATGCTGCAGACGCAGTGTCCCGCAGTCATTAGGTTGGACTCCGTGCCTCAGGCACCGTGGAGGTGCTAACTGGTCCTCTCCGCTTCCCTGCAGCAAGAGTACTGGAGGTTAGTGGAAGAGAAGGACTGCCATGTGGCAGTGCACTGCGGCAAGGTGGACACCAACACTCACGGCAGTGGATTCCCAGTGGGAAAATCAGAGCCCTTTTCGAGGTAACATGGGACTCCTCGTCTATGGGGCCCCGGGGCGTCCTTCCCCCACCAGCCTGTGACATCCCTCCTCTCTCCCTCTGCAGGCACGGATGGAACCTCACCGTCCTCCCCAATAACACAGGGTCCATCCTGCGTCACCTCGGTGCTGTGCCTGGTAAGCGTGGCAGCCTGCCCGCCCAAGCAGCTGGAACTAGAGCCGGGAAATACCTTCTGAGCACTCTTGGGGTTTGGTGAGGGGCGGGGTCTTAAGGCATATGGTGAATACATTGAGAACTTTGACTGTCAGTAAAGAGAGGAGTCAGGCCAGAGTCGGTGAAACTGGCAAAGGGTGGAAAGGGGAGCCACTTTGCCGAGTCTGAGGCTGGGCAGGAGCTTAGGAGCCAGCTTTGAACCTTGAAGCTGGTGCTTTCAAATCTGAAGCCCGGCCCCGAAGGCCACTGCAGGCTGAACTCATATTCTCCACGTGCTTGACGGGGATGGATGCTTCACGGACTCTGGGGGATGCCAAGGGCGTGGAGGTCGTGTTCCCTGTGAAGCCTCAGCCCCTGGAGGAGGTGGCCTGGAACGCCTGTGGGAGACCCATTTCTGACCCAAGCCAGGAGCTGGGTCCCACTCGCCCTGCTCAGGGGTCTCTTCCAGCAAAGGGGCTCTCTGTGGCTTCCGGCCTCCAGCCTTGGCAGGAGTTTTGGGGTTTGCACGTCTCTTCCCAGCCTCGAGGATCAGCACTGCAGCCCTCGAGTCATCACAGTCGGGTCCTGCAACACCCCTCTTCCTCACTAGTAGGGTGTCATCACAGGTTTGGAACAGCATCCATGTTCTTGGTCTCAGTTCTGCACAACAAGCAAGAAGGAGCAGATGCCTTCTACTCACTGCGTTTTGTCTGGTTTTGAATCCCATTTCTTTCTCTTCTTGTTTTGGGAGAAGTTATTTTTATCACTGTTTCTTTGCGATATTGCCCCCCAGCTTTAAAATGCTGTTTTCACCTGGCACGGTGGTACACTACTGTAATCCCAGCACTGTGGGAGGCTGAGGCAGGAGGGGCACTTGAGGCCCGGACTTTGACACCAGCCTGGGCAACACGGCAAAACTCTACCTCTACCAAAAATAAGATCAAAACGTTAGCTGGGTGTGGTGGCGTGCCTATAGTCCCAGCTACTCAGGAGGCTGAGGTGGGAGGACCTCTTGAGCCCAGGAGGTTGAGGCTGCAATGGGCTGTGATTGCACCACTGTACCCTAGCCTGGGTGAGAGAGTGAGACCATGTCTCAGAAAAATGAAATGTTGTTTTCATCTCTTATGTTTCAGGCGTGACTATTCCCTGGCTAAATATTGGCATGGTCTTTTCTACCTCATGCTGGTCTCGAGACCAAAATCACCTTCCATACATTGACTACTTACACACTGGTGCTGACTGCATTTGGTGAGTACGTGGCCCTTGGCCTGGCTGCCCTCTGCGCGCCTGTGCTCTGGGTGGGGGAAGGGACGGCAGAAATGCCACATGGAGACCCTAAGTGAAGCACCTTCTTGTCCAGTTGGCTGAAGGTGTTTGAGAACTTGCATTTGCATCTTCAGGTTTGTCCTGGGTCCCTGTTGTAGCCTCGGGGGCATTCCTGCCTCTGTTGGAAGAGCATGGGGTGGTGGAGAATATGCTAATGCTCCCTGATGATGAGCAAATATTTTTCACATTCTTATGGGCCATGTATGTTCCCTTTGCAGTTCCCTGCTTATGTATGTTTTTTTCTTCCGGAATATTCATTTTTTTCATTGATGATTTCCAAGAGTTGTTTACATATTTGGGATAAGCAACTTGGTGAAAGTGCCACGCAAAATTGACCAGTTACAGTGATTGTATCCGCAGCCTTCTAGTAACTGAATAGAACCTATTCTCTGCGACATCTTGTGAGTGGTAATTGTCAACTCTTTCTGGAGCCAGTGTCTCCTTATCTATCAGTGGCTACATGAGGAGTGGAATTTCCTTGGGAAGTCTACTTTCTGCAATGTGGAGACTCGTGTCGTGTATCCCACCCGAGTGTGTCGCGAGGCGTGGCTTTCTGCCTTGGTCTGCCTGTGATCCTGATGGAGGCTGGGCCCTCTGGCGTCTTTGTTTACAGTGGCAGATGGGAAATGGCTGCAGACAATCAGATGTCTTGTCGTCTGACAGTCTACCGGCATCACATCCATCCCACACTGACTGTGTTTATTGTCCTAATGGGGTGATTAAGCGCTCTTTATTAAAATAAACAAAGTCTTAGGACTAACGTTTTCCTTCCCTGGAGCCAGTATCGTTTGACTTTTTTAGCCAGTGGTGCTGTCAGCACAGGGCAGGATGTGAGGAGCCGTCTCCTCCCACCATCGGTCTCGGCTGGTGTGTGCGGAGCCAGGAGGTGACCTTGGGGCCAAGCAGGGGCAGGTGCTGCAGGGAGTGTGCAGCCAGGATGATTCTCTCGCATCCTAGAGGGGCTTTGCCTTTGAAAGGCTTGGTGGCCTCCCTCCGTAGCCACTGGGGCTGTAGCCACTGGGGCCGGCGACACCATTCCCTGCGGAGGAATGGTGGGGAATGTGGCTGGCCTGGCATTCCTAGGGTCCCACCCGTACCTGTGACCTGAGGCTGAAGAAGCAGGGTTGTGGAGGGGCCATGGGTTTTGTGTGGCTTGAGCGTGGAGTCACAGGTAGCGCAGCACGAGAGCCCCTGGGCCTTGGAAGACTGCTCTGGAACCTCCTTGATGGGCAGTAAAGAGGAGGCCGGATATGAGCAGGGAGCTTCATGGTGTGTGGTTTTCTTGAAACATGTGATTTAGGTTAGCAGCCTGTGTTGAGATTATAGATCAGTAACAGAATACGTTGGCACTAAAATAATGTACGCATTTAAGACAGCAGAAACGTGGCTATTGCTTTTACTCTGCAGCTGAAACCGGGGTTTGGTCTCAAAGCGAAATGCTTTCGTCACAGACACCTCGGTGCCATGGGGCAGATGCCGGCCCGCCAGGCCTGTGTGAAGGAGCTGAGGATGGGCGGGGCTGCTGGCGGGACTGGCGACGTGCACCGGCCCCTGCATGTCTTTCCTGGCAGATGCCTCCCCTTACTGATAGCCTCGTGTCCAGGAGGGAGTCCTCAGACAGTCTGAGACCTCCAGGTGTCTCTCCCTGCTGACTCCAGGGCAGGACAGTTCTCCCGCCGCCCCCAGCCCACCTGGAGGAGTTCTCACCTCACGCCCCTCTCCCACTCATGATCTGCGTGGCACCAGGGGTCTCAGTCGTGGGTGGCAGTGTGGCCTGGGGACCTACTTGGGACATTTGAGGACACAGGCAGCAGCCTTTCCCGGTCCCTGTGATTTCCATGAGCCTGTCCCAGATTCTTCTGGTAGTTAAGTTCCGCCTGCATCTTGAGCCCTTTCTCTCATGTGACACCCTCTCTCACGTGGCTTCCCAGCTACACCCACAAGGAAGGGTCAGTGAGCTGCTGGAGTCCCCAGGCTGCCCTGTGTGCCTGGCACAGGCCTGTGTGGTCTGCTTCTCGCGTGTGTCTTGTGGCGCATGCTGATGCCGTGTGGGCTGGGTCTGACACACAGAGCTACTTGGGGCTCAGGGCCAGGGTCCCCTAGGTGTGTCCCCCATCCCCCTTTTCCTTCCCGGTGGCTGTGGCGTCATCCCGAGAGTCATCCCGGGCTTGGCTCCTTTTCCAACTCTGCATCTTAAGAGCCAGGGCTGGTGTGATCTTTCCTGGCTGGGGTCGGGGGCTGCACCGTCCCCAGGAACATGGCGTCCATCCTGTCCTGTGACGCCTTCTGTGGCTGAGTAGGGCACAGTGCCGGCCCAGAGGCTGGGCAGGCCAGATGAGGCCCTGCTGCAGAGCCTCCCCCAAGGCGCGTGGAGTCTGCGGTGTGTCTGCTTCTGATTTATAGGGTTTATGAACATCTGTTTCTGGTTTGAAGGCTTTTTGGCTCACCGTGTGGGTCAGATCTACATAAAAGATGAGCGTCTCGCATCGCGGGTGCGCTGTGGTTTGGCCGCGTGCTGGGCGGAAGCGGCGCTGCTGCTGTGGGAAGCAGGGCCGGCAGGAGCAGCGCCAGGTGCCCGGTCAGGCCTGCTCGCCGTCATGCTCTCCTGGGTCCCGGCCCCTTGGCAGGCCCAGCACACGCAGGGGGCCCTGCTGAGCGTCGGCCGCCCATGTCTCCCCCGCCCAGGTATTGCATTCCTGCTGAGGAGGAGAACAAGCTGGAGGATGTGGTGCACACGCTGCTGCAGGCCAACGGGACGCCAGGGCTGCAGATGCTGGAGAGCAACGTCATGGTACGTACCCAGAGGGGCCGCAGGATCTCCTGGGGACTCGAACCCAGGGCATTCGCCACTCGCTTCATAAAGGCACCCTCTTAACCAGCCTACCTTTCCAAGGCAAAGACGACAAAGCAGAATCAACGCTCGGGAGCCCAAAGCCACAGGGCCTCTGGCACAAAAGCCAAACTGAGCTCCTGTTGGGTGGCACAGGATGCTGGGGTTGTGTGCTTGGTGGCATCTCTCCGGGGCCTGTTGGTGTTGTCCTTGCAGGCAGGGTCCCTGGGCGTGCGGTTGGCACCCTGGCTCTCTCATGCCCGCCACTGCCACCTGCTGGGCGCCTGGAGACTGGCCCTGGGCAGGAATGAGCACAAAGGCTACTCACCGTTTCCAGACAGTTTTGTGGCTTGGGTGTCACTGGGAGGCGTTGCCTTGAGCTGTGTTTTGCAGCCGAGCCCAGGGCTTCTCTTGCCTTTGGGGTTCCTCCTTCCTTTGTGGCCCCACCCTGTGTCCGTGGCCCTCCTGGCTCTGCACGAGCCCAGCAGCCTCCTGGTCGTGCCATCTGTCCCATTTCTAATCCCTGACATTGCCATGGTGGGGACGGGAAGGTTTGTGGGGTTGTGAGTGAAAGCTGTGCGTGCTCGCCTTGGTCTTGGCCCTGTGTGAACCTGTTGGCACTCCTGGGCCAGTATCAATGTACAACCTTTTTGTTGTTTGAGGAATTACGTCTGTTTTCTAAAGGAAGAACAGAGTCTAGTTTGTCTCCTCAAGAGCAGACCCCTCATTAAGGTGCTTACGCCCCACCTGGAGACTGTGGGTGTCGTGCAAGTGAGTGGGTGCTGGGGTGGTGCCTCAGCCAGGCCCTGTCTCCCCAGATCTCCCCAGAGGTGCTGTGCAAAGAGGGGATCAAGGTGCACAGGACGGTGCAGCAGAGTGGCCAGTTTGTCGTCTGCTTCCCGGGCTCCTTCGTGTCCAAAGTGTGCTGTGGCTACAGCGTCTCCGAAACCGTGCACTTTGCTACCACCCAGTGGACAAGTATGGGCTTCGAGACCGCCAAGGTGAGCGGCCCGCCTCCTGCTGCCCGCGTGTGCGGGTCCCTGGACACGCACTGGCCCTGTATGGGGGGTCTGTTTGAAGAGGGGCTTCCTGTTGGAATATGCCTCTGCAGTCTTTAAGAGGTGGTTGGCAGGATTTTCTAGAAAGGAACGACGTTTAGGGGTTTGTATTGTGAGGGGTTTGAGGTCCATTGCTGGCTGACCCCCGCACCACTGTGATGACTGTACTGAAGGGGCCTTGGGCGAACATGTGGGTGGGAAGTCTCTGCCCAGGCGGAGCGGGAGTGCCTGCCTGTGACTGGCAGCGAGTGTAGTGACCATCTCGGCGTGTGGTGTCTTGCTCACAGGTAAGCAGACTCGTATGCTTTTCAATATCTTTTAGCCCAATGCAATTCAGAACTGACAAATTCAGGTAGCCCGCCTGCCCCTGTGCCGAGAATAGCCTTCACGGGTGCCTCGTAATGAAAAGCCCCCTAAAGGATGTGACCCCTTTCAGGAGATGAAGCGTCGCCATATAGCCAAGCCGTTCTCCATGGAGAAGCTGCTCTACCAGATTGCACAGGCGGAAGCCAAGAAGGAGAACGGCCCCACTCTCAGTACCATCTCAGCGCTTCTGGATGAGCTCAGGTAACAGTCGGGGTCCTGGGAGACCCCAAGGCAGAGGCTGGAGTGCTGGGCCTGGCTGCCCCTCTGCGTGCTAGCCTGGAGGGAGCAACAGAAGCTCCCTGCCTGCAGCCGCGGCCCCTAAAGCTGCAGGGCCCACATGGGGCTTCCCAGATGGGCAGCGACGTTTATGGGGGGCGGTGCCTGGCTCTGTGTAGCCCCTTCTCTTTTTCCCGCCACGTAGCTTCGTGATGTCTCTCCCTCCCGGGTGCTGCTGGACAGCACCCGGATTTCGACTCGTGTTGTCGAACACCAACAAATAGTTTGTGAAAATCTCTCCTTGGCTGGGAACAGAGAGAAGTGCCCTTGCTCAGCTGAACGTGCCTCTGCCAGGTGCCAGAATGTGCCTGCTCCCAGAGTCGAGGCCCCTAGCAGCCTCAGGATTGTGACCTGACCTCTTGACTGCAGACGAGGGTCCCCAGCTGGGCTGTGGGGAGGAGAGCTGGGTGGGCTCTAGCCTCCCTCATGTCAGCCTCGCCACCTGCCCCTGATGGGAGGGCGTGGCTGGATGGGAGGCATGTGTTTGGGCACAACGTGCCCTTCTGCGGGCGAGCGTGGCAGACCACCCAGCAGGTGCCAAGCCAGCTGAGGGCCGGGCCCACTGTTGTGTCTGGCAGGGATACGGAGCTGCGGCAGCGCAGGCAGCTGTTTGAGGCCGGCCTCCATTCCTCCGCGCGATATGGCAGCCACGACGGCAACAGTGCGGTGGCGGATGGCAAGAAAAAGCCTCGAAAGTGGCTGCAGTTGGAGACGTCAGAGAGGAGGTGCCAGATCTGCCAGCACTTGTGCTACCTGTCCATGGTGAGCCTGCCTCTCATGGGGCCCTGGCACCGGGGCCCTGGGGGCTCGCCCAGAGGGGGCTGTTGGCCTGGGAAACCCGTCCTTCCTCCTGCCTTCTGACCTGCTGCGCGGCCTCGGGGGCATCCTGTCCTCAGCGTGGGGCCCTCCTTCCCACCATCTCTCCCTCTTGCACTGTGAGTCTGGAGCAAGCGGCCTCTCGCCCCTGCTTTGCCGCCCAGCTCCACGCACTCTGCTTGACTGCCATCCTTTCTGCAGGCGAGGGGTGGGCTTCCCCCAGCACGAGGCAGGTTGTGCTGCCTTCCACCCTGCTGCCTGTAACTGGTGAGATCTGGGCCCTTGGTCTCTGTCCGTGGCTGTTTCTGTTCAGCCACACGCTCTGCAGGTGCCCTGTGATCTGCCTTCGGTGAACGTGCGTTCCTCCTCGTCCCGTCTCTGTCGGAGCTGCTGTCCGGCCCGTCGCCACTCCTCTCGCCTTTTCGTCTCTCCACTGGCCACAGTGGCTCAGCGGCTTTCTCCTTTTCCTGGCTTGCTGCCACAGCACCCTGGAGGCCCAGCCTGTGTCCTCATGCCCACCTGCATGACCCAGCTGGGGGCTTAATTATGAACACACCATCTCCCCTGCCCCAGCCGACCGTATGCCAGCCAGAGTTGGGTTCAGTGGGGAGCCCTTGTGAAGGGATCCTTGGCTCGGCCAGTCTCCTTTGCTTCTTGAGTCACTGGGCAGCCGCCTTAGCACGCCCTGGGTGGGGCATGCCCTGCCAGGGCTCCGGTCCACTCTACACAGCCACATGCCTCAGCCTGGCATGCGTGGCCCTCCTAGCCAGCCTGGCCTCCCTCCCCAAGGCCTCTCCCCTCTCCATCTGTGTGTCATGACTGCAGATGCAGAAGTGCAGTTGGGAGGGCCCCAACCTGCACCCTACATGGCGTGGGCATTCCACGGGTGCCTCCACCGGCCACATAGTCCCTGGTACTCCCTGCCACTCTACTTGTGCGCAGGTGGACTCTCCTTGGCCCTCGGTGTGACTGTGTCATGCCACCTCTGCCCAAGTCCCTGGCATGTGCCTGGCTGTCCTCCTGAGAAGAGGGGTGACACGGCCACTCCCACCTGAGTCAGGCATGCTTTGTAACATCTGAAAGGTCTGAAAACTGGAAGGGAAATGCAGGGAGACCACTGGGTTTGCTTGCTGGGGCTGCTGGCACAACACCACAGGTGGGGGTTTTATGCCACAGACATTTGTTCTCTCACTTCTGGAGACTGGAAGTCCAAGGTCAGCAGGGCTCTGAGGTGCCTCTCCGTGGCTTGTCAGTGACTGCCCTCCCTTTGTGTCCTCACATGGTCTTCTCTGGGTGTTCTCACCTCTTTGGTCATTTTGGGCAAGGGCTACCCTCATGGCCTATTTTTTTTTTTTTGAGTTGGAGTCTCACTCTGTCACGCAGGCCAGAGTGCAGTGGCATATTCACAGCCACTGCAGTCTCGACCTGCTGGACTCAGGTGATTCTTCCACCTCAGCCTTCCAAGCAGCTAGAACTACAGGCAGGCACCACCATGCCTGGTAATTTTTTTTAAAATGTAGAGATGAGGTCTTGCCAGGTTGCCCAGGCTGGTCTTGAACCCCTGAACTGAGGCAATTATCCTCTCACCTTGGCCTCCCAAAGTACTGGATTATAGGTATGAGCACCCGGCCTCATGGCCGCCTTTTAAATGCATGATCTCTTTTAAGCCCTAACTGCAGTCTCGTTCTGAGATACTGAGGTGTTGGTGGACTTCCATATAGGAATTTGGGGGAACATATATTGTAACAACTGTGACTCCTATGTTTTCTTCTGTCTAGTTTTTCTGTCAGAGACTTTTCAAAATATATTATTCATAACTATACTGTCTTTAAAAGAAAAAGATCTTAAAATGTGTTTTAAAATCACTCCTAATAACTGCGTGGTTCTACATTTGTTCTCTTGTTGGAGTATTCCTGTCCCTTGCCCGTGGCTTGTTCTGTGGTGACCACGCTTATGTGGTCCATCCCTGTGGTCTCAGGACAGTGCCGTGTGGGCTCGTTTTCAAGCTGTCCTTGAGAAGTGTACCTGCAGAGTTGTCACCTGGCATTTCCTGCCAGCCTGAAAGTTGTTAAATATGATATATTGTCAGCCAGGTGCTGTGGCTCACACCTGTAATCCCAGCACTTTGGGAGGTGGAGGTGAGAGGATTGCCTGAGCTCAGGAGTTCCGAGACCAGCTTGAGCAACATGGCAACACCTAATCTCTACAATAAAGAAAAAAATTAGCTGCTCATGGTGGCGCATGCCTGTGGTTCCAGGTACATGGAAGGCAGAGGTGGAAGGACCATCTGAGCCCAGAAGGTTGAAGCTTTGGTGGCTGTGAGTGTGCCACTGCACTCCAGCCTGGGGGACAGAGCGAGACTCCAACTCTAATAGTAATAATAATAATAATGTCCTAATAATAATAATAAAAATGTCCATAGGTGAAAATTGGGGCTTTATTTATGTTTTCAGTTTGCATTTCTTGAATTACTAAGACCTTTGTGCATTTTTGTTTGCCCTTGGTCCCCGGTATCTTTGAGAGGTGACATGATACTGTCAGGAGGGTCATTCTTGAACTTGTTCTCTGCTCAGAAACACCACAGAAGTCCCAGGTCTTTCCCCGGATTTTTCCTCCTTTGTTTTGAACTTGGAGTGAGAACAGGACTCGGGAGGCAGGATGGGCAGGAGTCCCCCCGAGCCAGGCAGCTTTCCCTTCTCCCGGTGCCCTTCAGCCCACGTTGAGCCCCCTGAAGGTCCACGAGTGAGCACTGCCGCGTGCCCTGCGGGGCCTTGGGCACTTACAGGTGGGGGGGCTTTGAGAGCAGCCTAACCCAGGAGGCCAGGGATGGCAGAGGGGCCTGTCTGGGTTGCAGGGGGCCGGGGGTCCATGATGGTTGGAGTTTTGTTGAGTTTGGGTGGAGCTGTGTATTGCCAGTGAGCCGCTTGCAGCTGCCATGAGGACCAGTTTGCTCCTGGAAGGTCCAGGGCGTGTCCCCGTGCTGCCTCCCCAGTGTTTGGTCCTCCCCACAGCGCAGGTCCATTCTGGCATCGCCTTGTACCAGGGTCGTTTTGAACGCACCTAGAGCCCACAGAACTCAGGGGCTTGAGGGCAAGCACCAGTATCAAATCCCATCTTCACCATCCCTGGGTGATTAGAATCCCCTGGAAACTGCGGTGGAAATCTGGAGGGGACTCGAAGGCCATCTTCAGTCCAGATCAGGAGTGGCCAGCTCTTCTCTTTTCCAGTTAGAGCCTGCTGCAGGCTGTTGGCTTGTTCTGGATGGTTTTTTTGCCCTGCTCTGTCCCTGGCTCCCGCTCCTCCCTCCAGGGGCATGTCCCCCAGCGCTGTAGGATTCTCCTAGCCCCTGGGTGTGTTGCTCTTCTTGCAGGTGGTGCAGGAGAACGAGAATGTCGTGTTCTGCCTGGAGTGTGCGCTGCGCCATGTGGAGAAGCAGAAGTCCTGCCGCGGGCTGAAGCTGATGTACCGCTATGACGAGGTCAGTCCTGCTCACGCCATGCACGCTGGGTCCTGGGGCCATGCCAGGCCTTCCCTGGCCCGCTGGACACAGGCTCTTGGCCTGGCAGTTCTGTGCCCAGCAGGCAACCCAGGCTCTACAGGCCTCAGGTCAGGTGCAGCCACAATGGTGCTGGGCGCCTTCTGACCAGACTAAGCCTGACCCAATGGGAACGTGACATTGTCCCGAGTCTGAGGAAGTGGGTAGCTTCCCCTGGTGTCCATGTGAGTTGGGCCCTGTTCTGATCCGAGACATCCAGGAACTGAAACTGGAGGAATTTTTTACCTGTGAAAACTATGTTTGTCCTATCGTCCTTGTCATGTTCACAGCCTTCCGCCAGCTTCTGTCCTTCCCTTCCTGAGCAGAGGTGGCTCTGGGCAGGTGGGGCTGCCCCCGAGGCTCGTGGGAACAGCCAGTCGGCCTCGCTGTGCTCCTGCAGTAGCAGGACCCAGGCACAAGGGCCACATCCTGTTGGAAAGCGCCTGGGTGGCCAGTCAGGAGGTGGCCGCCCTCTGCCTGGGGCCCGTCACTGGTGGTGGCTCTGGCCCCTCGTCATCCCTGCCGCCTCCACGGTGCAGTCCTGGTCAGTGAGGCTCAGGCCCGCATGCAGCACCGGCTCCCTCCCACACCAGGCCCATTCCTCAGCGCCTAAACCTGCTCAGGCTCCCGGGCGTATCCTTGTGGGCAGCAGAGTCCATGGATGGGGTCTGTAGTGCAGCGTGCGTGGGCTTTAGAGACACTCTCGGGGCCGAGGCCCTGCCTGGGACTCTTGTCTCTGCATCGGCCAGGCTATGACATCTGAAGCCAGATGCCCCCTGTGGCGACCTGTCTCCTGCACAGCGGGAGGTGTGGTGGTGCAGTCCCGGCCTCTCCCACTAGATGCTAGCAGGGCCCTCCCGACTGGGACAGCCAGGAGTGTCTGTAGATGCTGGCCCTGTCCTCAGGGCAGGACCGCCTGTGTGGAGACTGCTGCCCCCTGACACTCTGGCTTGCTGCAAACCCTGTCCGGGGGTGAGCCTGCACCTTTGTGGAGCCTTGCAGCTTCTGTGTTCCTCACTGCCAGGTCCTCGGTGGACAAGGGGTTTTATGTCAGGATTGAGGTTTGGTTCCCAAAGTATCTGGCCAGGTCACTAAGAAGATGTGCCACCCACTGCGGCCAGGGCCTGGGCTGGCTTCTCTATCCCAGGAGAGCCCCAGGGGAAGGTGATTGTTACAGGCACGGTGGCCTTCCCCAGCCGGACCATCTGGTCAGGGGAGACACGGAGCGAGCACCTGTGACTACCTCCGCCTCACAGCTGCGGTCCCCGAGCAGCCGGGCTCGAGTGTCTCTAGGACCTGGCCAGAGCGGCACAGAGATGAGTTGGCCCCTTTCCCGACAGGTGACAGATTGGCCAGTGTCAGGTAGTCACGGACTGGGCTGAGGCTGTTGTGGGCTGAATTGGTGCAGGAGGTCATCCCTGGGGCGTAGGCCCTGACCTCACCTTCACCTTCGCTTCACAGCCGAGGGCCTGTCTGCCAGAGCTGGGGAGGGGTGGGCGTGGCTGGTGCTGCTGTCTCCCCCCAGGGAAGTGCCCCCTTCCTCTGCGCTCGTGCGGCCTCTCATCCTCGGGATCTCTTCGCTCGAAAGTCTTCAATCACATGCTGGGCTCTGGCAGTCCCCTTCCTAGGCACGCGGCCCTGGAGACCTCCCCGCCCCTCAGCAGGAAGGCCGCAGCTCCAGGCGCCCCCCACTGCCCACCCAGGGGGCTCCCTCCAGCTGGGCTGTTTGGTCTCCGTGAACGCCTTTGTCCCTCCCTCATGCTCTGCAGATCTCGCTGGTTCTGCCTTCCAGACGCATCCCAGACCCCGCCAGCTCTCCCCACTCTGCTTCCAGTCAAGCCCACCCCTCACTTTGCTGACTGGCCGTTCTCCCCAGCCTCCCCCTGGTCTGTGCTCCTCACCACACGCCAGTCTGCTGGAAACGCCAGCCCTTGGGAGACAGGCTCTAGCCGCAGCCCTTCCCGTGCCAGCTGCTTGGTCCCTGCAGTCATTGGATCCCCTCTGACCTGGGCCAGGACCTACCCCTTTCTCAAATGTGGGGAACAGGAAAGCAGGGGAAGCCCAGAGCCCCGGGCTCTCACTTTCTGAAGCAGCGAGCCCGTGGCCACCTCTGTGCCCCTGGCCCCCCCTTCTGGCGTGTTCGCGGAAATGCTTCCAGGCGCACTTGAGTTCTCGATGTAGACGGACACCTTCCCAGAATGCATGGCCCTGCCCCTCCTGGGCACGGCTCACTTCTCGACCTGCCACCCGCAGCCTACCATGTGGCAGCCTGGTGTGTTCCTCTAGGCCTTGCTATCTGCTGGCCAGGGGTCGCCGTCGCGGTGTGTCCGTGAGCTGTGGCACCCTTCCAGTGGAGTGCACAGCCTGTGAGCCCGGGCCCGGCCCTCAAGGCCGACCCACCCCACTCCCTGGGCCTGCTTCCCATGAGCTCCCCTGAGGCTGGCCCTGTGGAAGGTCACCGCGGGGTGGCCTCTGCACACGTGAGCCCACTTGGTCCTGAGCCCACTTGGTCCGGCAGGTGCCCCAGGCACGACCCGGTGAGGGCAGGCACGTGGCGGGCAGGCAGCGGGTCAGACGGTAGATACGCCTTTGGCCAAATGGCGAGATTGGAGAGCTGGAGAAAGGTCTGTTTGCCTCCTTTTGGTTTTGAAAGAGCGTGTTCAGTGAAGGCAAATGTCAGACTGTGGTTAAAAATAAATACTTAGCGGATGCGTAAGAACCTCTGAGCAACGTGCAGAGCATGGCCAGCGGCACTGGAGGCTGCATCAAGCTGGGCTTAAAGCTCCCTATACCATGTGGGCTACAGTTTTCTCCACGGGCCCATTCTGTAGCTACATGTTTGATCAGAATCCTGGAAAAAGAATGACACGCACACCTGTGGGGGTCTGATGCTCGTCCTTGGCTTTGCTGAGGAGAAAATGGACCTGGTTGCCGACTCCTCTGCCAGGGGCACACTTGGGCTCAGTAGATGAGATTGTCTGGCTTGTGAGACTGCCACTAGCTCTAGTTCTGAGATCCCCGTGTTGTCTGCTAGATACCCAACTCGTGTTCCTTCCTGCCTGTCCTCATGCTGTCGAGGTGGCTTCAGCACCATGAAACTGGGCTCTAAAGCAGCTCACGTCCTTCCTCTATTAGTGTGTTGATTCCAAGTGCTTCAAGTGGCCAGGGCGCATGTTTCTACAGGTACATGGCCCTCCTCCTTCCGAGGCGCCTGTAACTTCTCGGTGCTGAGAACCTCAGGTACACTTGGCTGACCTGGGAATATATAACTGGCTTCTCCCCGCCTGGTCTCCATGGCTCCTACCCATCCCACCCATGGCCCAGAGAGGCTGCCTTCTCCTTCCCGTGTTCCCTTTGGAGATGGGATGGCTGGAAGATGCGTTGTGTTAAAGTGACAAATACACGTTGTTACTGCCAGATAAATGGTTCTCTTGGGTGAGCCACAGGATGCTGTTTGCTGGCTGCAGACATGAAGGGAGTAATAGACCTATGTCTAAATAGGCAGGCGCTTCAGTTTATCTGCATGACCAGGGCAAGTGGCTGGCGGCCTTAAGCCAGTCAGCGTTTGTCCGCTCTGGGGATCAAGGCCAGAGAACTGGCCTCCCTCCTGAGCACCCGTGGCGACACGGCTCAGCTGGCCCCAGCCCTGTCCTCACAGCGGCTCAGCCCCCTCAGCTGGGGTCGTGAGGATGACACGGTTGCCTGTGCTGTGTGCCCAGGAGGGGCAGGAAAGCGAGATGTGGGCTGCCTCTCAGTCTCCTGGGGAGATATATATATATATTATTTATTTATTTATTTATTTATTTATTTATTTATTTTTTGAGTTGGAGTCTCACTCTGTCGCCCAGACTGGAGTGCAGTGGCCGCTCCCGGCCACCGCAGCCTCGACCTGCTGGGCTCCAGCGATCCCTCCGCCTCAGCCTTCCGAGTAGCCGGAACTACAGGCATGCGCACCACGCCTGGCTGATTTTTTGATTTATTGTGGAGATGAGGTCTCGCTGCCCAGGCGGGTCTCGAACCTGCGGGCTCAGGCAATCCACTCACCTCAGCCTCCTAAAGGCACGGGATTACAGGCTGAGCCACCGAGCCAGGCTTCCTGGGGCTATTTAAAAGCCAGTCCTGTCATCCTGTGCTGCGTGCAGTGATCTCAGTCGGTGTGGTGGTGACAGACTGCCCAGCTCCAGTGACGAGCTCCACCCTAAACCTGGTCCTGGATGGTTCCTGGGGACAGAGCTCTTCTCTGTTGTGTTAATTAATTGTTTTCCTTTTACCCCCTAACAGGAACAAATTATCAGTCTGGTCAATCAGATCTGTGGCAAAGTGTCTGGTAAAAACGGCAGCATTGAGAACTGTCTCAGTAAACCCACACCAAAAAGAGGCCCCCGCAAGAGAGCGACGGTGGACGTGCCCCCCTCCCGGCTGTCAGCCTCCGGCTCATCCAAAAGTGCTTCGAGCTCATGAAGATGCCAACACCCGTGGTCGATTTCTATATATTTTTTTGTAATTATTATATTCTAGTTTGGAGTACTTGCTGTAGGATACAAGCTGTCTTTGCACTAGCTCTAAAGAAGATTTTCTTCTGGTTTTAGAGAACTAATTTTGTTTTAGCATTAAACTGTTGAACTTTTTTTTGTACTTAGAAAACCTAGATACTGCAGTCAGATTTTGGAAACTGCCGTATAGTCACTGTTTTAAAAACCCTTGAGGGGCTGTATTAATTTGTATCGCCCCTATGGCTGACAAAAGCCTTGTTTTGATTTTTTTTTTTTTTTTGTAACTGTTGGGGAACTAAAGGCTTTTTAACCCATTTTTGAAGAGGGTGAAGTTTGGAGAACAAATTTTAAAACCATCAGTCATGTGAGCAGATTTTTCTAGATCGGAAAAGGGATAGGAGATACACACCCACCCACACACACACAGAAGAAACTTGAAAAGAAATGGCTTTGCTTGGGCTGTCTTTCTTCTGCCATGTGCGAGACGAGCTTGTCATCTCGAGAGCCGGAGCACCCCTGTCTGTTTCTCGGGGCGGTCGTGGCAGCCGAGGCGGACCTTGTTTCCTAACCGTAGGCAAAGTGAGGCGCTTGGCCGAGTAGGTTCTTTACCAGCAATCACTATGCACCTGTCTGAGGAAGCGCGCGCGAGAGGAAGAAGAAAAGGACTGCCTGCCTTGGAGGGGTCACGTGAGGGAGACCTGTGCCTGATTTCATTAGGAAATCCATTCTGTTATTTTTGGTGCTGTTGGCTACTTTATCAAAAACCCTTCAATAGCATCCTTGAGATAAAAAAAGGAGAAACGTGGTGGAAGCCACGAGGGCTTCTCTGTCATCGATGTGCAATCTTTCTAACATTCCGTCTTCATCTCACTGCTTCTTGTTTTACACCTTCACACGTCAGCATTAATCTCTTGAGTTTGTTTCGTTTGTGATCACATTTAGAGCCACTAGGAGGTCCGCGGTTCTTTTTGAATGTGAAATGCATTTGCGCTCATCTTGTCTATTTTTTCTCTTCATGTTGTAACAAAAGAAAAAGAAAAAGAAAAAAAAAAGAATCCCATCCCTTTTGTACATACGCCTGTAAATTGTTTTAAATACTTGAGCCTTTTTCTCGGTGGGGGGTGGGGAGGGGTGAGGAGACAAGATGAAGAAAAGCCTTACATTTCAGTTTCTTCATCGGTTGGATTGGATGCTTACAGGGTTTTTCTTGTAACATTTATAAGTGCTGCTTACATCACTGAACAACAACAACAAAATAATAATGGAGTAGCTGTTGCCCTTCTCCGGTTGTGTGTACAGTATGTGTGGAATAAAAAAGGGAAACTGTTTTCACAAGCTGTTCTTTGTTTCATAATTGGATTCATCGGTCCCGTAGCTACCCATATTGCACTGAGCTTGCCAGTGGTGACTGCCAGGAACGTCCATGATCCACTTGTTGGTTGTTGTTGCAGAAGACTGAACTGTTTTGGAATATTTAACGATTACATAAACAGAGTCAAGTGTTTTCCAATGTGGTTGTCCGGTTTTTATGGCCTTGCTGTGTACTTTCCCTCTTTTGACAGTAAACTTCTGCCTATGGCTTACAGTTTGACATTTAATTTATTAGCGCTGCTCTGCACCCTCCCTTGGGAGGGAAGACTTCATGTGGTTTATTGCGAGTTTTCTGTTTACTTTTCAGGTTTGTACTACAAGGTTTAATAATAAAACAAAGTTTTTTGGACACTTGTCTGTCTTGTGGAAGATGAGTGAATGGAATGAGCTCTTTTCTTTTCTGATCACCGGGCATCGGCCAGGGAGTGGCCCTGACGCCTCATCGGCTTGCTCGGACTCCACCTGCTGGTGGCTGTCCCCCTTCCGAGCACAGTCAGATGGTTTGTGTGGCCCAGCAGGGCAGGTCAGAGCCGGTCCTGCCTCTGCCGGGTGCCAGTACGTCCCTTCCGCTGCAGCACCCTTCGCGCGTGACAGTCTGTCCTCTCTCAGGGCTGGAGGAGTGGCGAGGGGAACACGTCTCTGTGGGACCGGCTGCTTTGCAGGAGTAATACTGGAGTGTAGCTTTGGGCTGATTTGTTTGTTTGGGTACTAAAGTGGGGGTTGGGCTGTTGGTTGTTAGACTCACAGTAACTTTGCAACGATCAGATGAAAACTCACACTGTCAGAGCCGAGCTGAGTCATGTCTTAACGGAAATTGAGTTTTCAATTTCCCACACAAGGGCAGGTCATTCACTCTTCCTTCGGAACTGGGCCCGAGAAGCCACAAGGGCAGGCCCTGCCCTCACACTCGGGGCTCCCGGTGATCCGAGCATTCCCTTCCCGCCCCAAGGAACCATGAGTTACACTGTTTAAGGACACATGTATTGAGAAGCTTTTGTGTACAAACTAGCTGTGTACTCTCTAGTTAAGGTTTCAAGTCCTCAACTTTATTATTCGCTCTTCTCTCAGTCAGTTTCTCACACATCATCGGCAACTCCATTTAAAAAAAACAAAAACGCCTCCATGAACAACCTGACCTTACGGGTGGAATTCTGCACACAGCCAGAGGATGCAGATGTCCCATTTAGGAGTCGCTGTCATCACTAACATCCAGAGTGGCCTTGCTGTCAGCGTGGAAAGTGGCTAGGGCAGTGTCCACCTGAACCTCTTCTTCATCAGACTGAACACGGGGGGACTCCCCACCTTCACTGGCGTCCTGGGCAGCTGAGTCGGTGCAGCTGGAGGATGAGGAACGCGGCTTGGCTTGTAAGTCTGAGGGATTTGGAACCTGAAGAGCAATTTCATTCTGACAGGTGTCCGATTCAGGCCCTGCAAAAGAAGCAGGAAGAAACCCTTTCATAAATTGCAATTTAGACTTGCCAGTGACGACAACTGTGAACATCCCCAGAATAAGAGGGGTGTGTGTTTTCTGTTCTAGGGGTCTGCAGAACCAGGCTGCTCACTGCAGTGCAGGGAATGTCCCGGAAGACGCTACGTGATGCCAGGGTCCTGGGCTGACCTTTCTGTCCCTTAATGAGTCAGCCACCCATGACCGAGATCAAGAACCCTTTAAAACCATATAATATCCAGTATGATTGTGTGCTTAAGGGCCCGCGGGCAAGTGCTGCATGTCTTTGAGGAGCAGTCTTAGTGACCTTGATTATCTAGATTTGCTTCTTTTTATCCTTTTAAGTAATTCATAGACACCAGAGCTGAGAGAGAAAGTCGAAATTATTGACCTTTCGGCAGGTCTCCAATTTCGTGCGGACTAAAGAAGCTCTTCAGGGAATCAGAATTCTATATGCAGATGGAGCCGCTGTGTGTCCGTGTCGCCTGGACGCTGGAGAGGGGCCGGCGTTAATCCTCATCTCCAGCCTCCAGCCTTCCCTGGACAGGTCGCTGCCCCCCAGCCCCCTTCTCTTCCTGGCACTGACTGCATTCTCACAGGTTTACCAAGTGAAGAGGGTGGGAAGTTCAGAGGAAGCCATGGCAACGTTAGAACGTTCTAGAGTGGCGGAGGTGCCACTGGGAGACCTGACCTTTGACTTGACCCAACCAGAACTGGTCTCACATTTGAAATGCACTGAGCTCAAGCATAGTTCTGGCACCTCAGTAAATACAGAGGATGCCAAAAAAATGTACACATATTTTAAGAAAGGAAAAACTGTTAAAACTGTAAAACTCAGTAAGTACCAATAACAAAAGATGAATACAAGTTACGTTTGACTTCTGCAATGACAAAAGGTGCTCAAAGTGTTAGTTCACCATCAGCATCCAGACACTTCTGATTATGGTGGACTAAAAGTAATACATAGATAACATCTCCTAAAACGTGTCCTTTTTTCTTTCTTTTTTTGGCATCCCCAGTCTTTGCTGGGCGAATGTGAAACAAGATATTGGGAAGGCAAAGGTTGCAACGAATTTTTAAAACACAGGCCAGGGAGGAGTTTAAAAACAACAAGCATGTGCTTATTCCCCCAGGCACGTACCTGTGCACCGTGCAGGAGCTGCCACCTCCCCCAAACCCAGTCCTTAGCTCAGATTAATGTCTGGCATGGAAGAGGCAAGACCATTAGGAAGTCTCCCCACTCACTGACAGTGGCTACTGCAAACCCTCAAGTCCTCTCTGCTGCTAGACCCAGCACAGTATGTGGCCATGTGGGTTCGTGGAACGAGGAGGTGACTGCTCAGAGGCCCACACTGCATGTGCTCCAGTGATTTTCACATCCGCCCTGTCGAGGGCAATGTCGGTAAGTCCATGGTTAGGTTTATGCCAGTTTGCCCATCCCTACCTGGGCCTGGGGACAGCACGGTGCAATCTTCTCCGCCTGAATTCAAGAAGACATCCAGGGCCTCCTGGTCGGTTATGTCCATCAGGTCCATCTGCTCCAGCACGTCGACGTTCACCTCCATGGACGACATGCTGCCTATGGGCTCTAGAATGGATCGGCAACACGAGAGGCTCTACTTTTTGTCTTGAGCCTTTGTTTTAAAGGTGACCTTGGCATCAGTACTCCAAGCTTACTTCCGAAGAGATGGTGAAGCAACGTACCCCTAAATGACACACACGTCTGGTATTTTAAAGCCATCTCGGTGACTCTTGATCACCACTGCCTTTCACACCCTCCACAGCAGCTTCTCTCTCCATGTCTAGCCCCTGGTCCGGGGCACCGCAGACAGACTAGTGTCCGCATTAAGCAACTCCTGGCTGTTGGGAGTAGGTAGGACCTTCGCAGCAGGAGCAGGAGCAGGAGCAGGAGCTGTCTCACAGAGGCCAAGGTTGCTGCAGCAGCACAGAGTCAGCAGCTTCACCCCTCGAGACACAGCTCTACGTCCTGCCTCCAGCTGCCCAAGCCTTACGGGCGGGTGCAGCCCTATAGTTCCAAGTGAAGTCTCCACAGCCCTTGGAACATTTCTCAAACACAGCAGCAGAAAAGTTCGAGCATTTGCAAGCCAAGGAGCTGGAGCCTAAACTCCCTGCAGTACAGGCTGGGAGGAAGCAGAAGAGCCCACCAGCAGCAGTCGGCCTCAGCCTGGAGTTCGTGTTCAAACGACCTCGGGTCCAGAACACCACAAGCCAAGGAAATCTGGGCATGATGGTGACTGTTTCTGAAAAGACTCTCCTTTAACTGATTTATGCAAAATCAATTCCAGTCAAGTCGGGAATTTGTAACACAGGGAAATAAGTCAAAACTGCAGATGGTACTAAACCTAAAAACAGTCAAACAATGTCTAGGTAGGTAAAAATGGGAAAAACACCACCAAAACTGAAATTCAGGGCACAAGGTAAACTGAAGATTGGTGACAGCCAAATAGAAAATCAATAAAATAGAAGATGGAGTGAATAAATTTGCCACAACAGAGCATGGAAAGAATGTTAAGAGATACCAAAAATGCAAACGTTTAACACATGTTCACTGTTCCAAAAGAAAAGAATGGATGAGGAACTACTTTCAAAGCATCTGATTATTTTCCAGAATTGATGAAAGACCTCAGGACCCAGATTTAAGAAGCAAACACATTCCAAGCAAGATAAAAGCAACCCTCACCTACATCAATTGCTTTGAAGTTGAAGAACATCAAAGACAAAGGCTTTCTAAAAGGCAGCCAGAGAGAAAGGGCAGGTTGAGAACAAGGAAATAATTAGGATGACAGGCAACTTCTGAACAACAGTAATAAAAGCCAGAAGACAGTGGAATAAAGTTCAAAGAGAAGAGAGAAATGTCATCTCCAAAATGACGTATCTATTATTAGACATTTAAGACCAAATATAAAAGGTACAAGCACAGTCAGACAAAACACACCTTATCATGAGCCTGCTCTCACTAAAGGCACAAAAAGAGGATGGCCAAGCAAAAGGAAGCATGTTAAGCCGCAACTTGTAAGTCTGTGAGTAAATATAAAGCTTGGAGTATAATTGTCACGGGGGGTGTTCTGTGGCCGAGTTGACCCACTGGTCAGTGGCAACATGGGGCCAACACAGCGGAGGTGCCCATTTTATCTGGGAGGAAGGTGCGAGTCTCAGCTTCAGCTCACAGAATCACGCAAGCTCTGCATTAAGTAGAGAGCATGGAACTCCTGTTTTTAGGTGGGGGAAAGACTCTTACTGTATTTGATGGCAACATCCCAAGCCACAGAGTCAGGAGCCAATCGAGACAGCCTGCTCTGCCTCAGACTTGACCAGGGAGTTGACCTTGGCCACACAGTGCACCGTCCTTGATCCTCAAGGTGACTGGTAAAAGGGAGTTTGATGGCGGCCCAATATTATTTATCTTTGGCCAAACTTGTTCCTCCTGCAGGAGCCCTCTCTTGAGGGTGCCTGGGGCTGGGCTGGTCTGTGGCTTTCTTTCTGGGACCACGGAAGTCTTTCAGCCAAGCCTTTCCAGCTTTTGGGCTTTTAGCCTTTGCTTTGACTTCGGTTGTGAAAGGGGCAGAAGCTCCCATTTCTGTCTGTGCCATCATATTAAAAAGGGCAGAAGTGTAACTTAAAACAGGAGAGAAAAAAAATGGACTAAAAAGCATAGGAAGAGCTTTCAGGAAAATGCTGGAGCACCAGATAAGAGATGATGAAGCCAGAGAGACCACTGGTCACAGGAAATAAACTAGGCTTGCCAGCTATGAGATTATCCTATTTGCAGAGAACTCCTGAAACAAACAGCAACATTAAAAGTTTTCTTGAAAACTGGAAAAAATAACTACGGGAGAGGCCAAAGCAGCCTGCCATTGGCAAACAAATACTTTAAGATGAAAACTGGCACAGCTATATCAATATCAAGAAGATTTTAGGGGAAAACAAAAGTAGCATTGGGATACAGAGCAGTACTTAATGACTTCCAAAAGGTTCAACTTACCAGAAGATAATTCAACCCTTCCAAAGGATTCTATTTTTTTTGGGGGGGGGGGGGTCAGGTCTCCCTCTATCGCGCAGGCTGGAGTGTACTGGCACAATCGTGGCTACTGTAGCCTTGACCTGCTGGGCTCAGGCGATCCTTGCTCAGCCTTCAAGTAGCTGGAACTACAGGTGTGCACCATCCTGCCTGGCTAATTTTTTGATTTATTGTAGAGACAAGGTCTCACCAAGTTGTCCAGGCTGGTCTTGAACCCCTGGGCTCAGCTCAGGCAATCCTCTCGCCTCTGCCTCCCAAGTGATAGGATTACAAGTGTGAGCTACTGTGCCTGGCTGTACATCTTATTAGTGAGGAGTCCTGAAAACCAAGCCTAAACATTTTAAGTTAGAGAAAAACTAAATGCCCAGAGAAAGCAAAGCTAAAGCCAAAAATTTAAGGCAACAGTAGAGAGGAAAAACAAAAAAATTGGTTCCTAGGGGAAAAAACTTTAAAATGATTACGTTCTGAGTTATCATGAAGAAGAGAGATTAAAGGCACAAACAATTTCAGAGATACACCAGGCTAACCACATAAATTGAGAAGAATAGTGCTCTGCTAATCGATTTGAAAATTAAAGGCAATGCCATGGATACTTGCCAAGCTCAGGAAATAGAACATTTGTAACAATCAGAAAAACAGAATCGAGAAGCCACTGGTCCCAGACAGTGAGGCAAGTTCTACCCAACACTCAGGAGTGCACGGCGAGAGACGTGCACACACAGAAAAATCCAGTGCCAGTAAGAAATGCTAGTAAGAGGCCAATTCAGCCTCAGGTGGAAACTTAATGCAATCCTAGACAAACTTTTCAGAAACTTGGAACTGTAACATTTCTGCGAAAGGACAAAGAGCAAGAAGAGTCCTGGCAGCTAGAGAAAAACGAATGTGTGGGTCCCAGAGTTGTGGGTAATGACGCCGGCAGACAGTCAAGACGTGCCGTGGAGCAGCTGCTCAGTCGCAGCATTGCTGACGCTGGACCACCCGGCTCTCTGCCATGTAGTGTAGCATGTTTCACAGCATCCCTGTCCTCTGCCCACTAGAAGCCAGCAGCACTCCCTTAACCTGGTCAGTCACAACAAGCAAAAGGGGACTGCCAGATGTCCCCAGCTGAGAACCAGTGCTTGATGTGTAAGTATAAGGCAGCATGGTTTTAGTTCAGAGGTAGACACAGGAGAATAGAACTGAAAAGAACCTACAAATGACTCCTGAATCACTGGAAATTGACACAGGTGGAAAGCTGTGGGAGGCCATGGGGAGGGGAGGCCGGTGCCGAGACTGACAGCCGTTGGCTGGGCAAGAAATACCACTCATCCCCACCTCACGACACACTCGGCAGTCAGCTGACTAAGGGCCAGACAGAACGTGGAAAGCGTTAAAACTCTCAGAACAAAACACAGTGAAATGTCCCTAAAACTTGGAGCTAGCTGGGCTCGGTGGCTCAGCCTGTAATCCCGCGCCTTTGGGAGGCTGAGGTGAGTGAATTGCCTGAGCCCGCGGGTTCCAGACCCGCCTGGGCAGCAAGACCTCATCTCTACAATAAGTAAAAAAAACTAGCCGGGTGTGGTAGTTCCAGCTACTTGGAAGGCTGAGGCGGAAGGATCGCCGGAGCCCAGCAGGTTGAGGCTGCGGTGGCCGGGAGCGGCCTCTGCACTCCAGTCTGGGCAACCGAGTGAGACTCCAACTCAAAAAAAAAAAAAAACCAAAAAAACTTGGAGCTAAGGATTTGCTAAACAAGATACACAAGCACAAACCAGAAGCAAAAAAATTGGTAAAGCCGATTTCCCTAAAAATAAATTGAATTAACCAAAAGCTCATCAAGTAGACGAAACAGGCCACAGAGTCAGAGAAGTTACTTGCATTGGACATATAATCAGCAAAGATCAATATCCACAAGTATAAGATTCATGGAGACAAACCAAAGGGAAAAGGGGCAGTCAAGGAGATTACAGTTAAAGCCACAATAAAATGCCATTTCCTATCAACAGATGGGCAAAAATGTAACTCCCTGACCCTACCCTGTGCTGGCAAAGATGTAATCTGAGCATGAATACAAGGTTAGGGAGTTTATAACCTGTACAAATACTCTGGCAAGTCATCTGACAGGACCTAGTAAAAGTAAGAGATGCGTGTCATTGCGACCAGTCATTTCTCTCCTAGTTTGACACCCTGGAGAAGTGGTTCTCGCAGTGTGGTTGGCCCCTCAGGATCACCTGAGAACTTGATAAGGCAGAGCCTCAGGCCCCACACCCTGGACTCCAAAACCAGGAAGGCTGGGAGGCACGGGAATCCGTGGCTGAACTGCCCTCCAGGGGAGTGGGCTGCTCACCCTTTCGAGATGGCCAAAGCGAGTCTTGGGCATGTGTGTGGAGAGACACATCATCAGAAAGTCTATGCCAGCATTGTTGTAATTAAAAAAGAAAACTGGAAATGCTTTAAATGCCCATCAACACAACAATAACATTGAAGGAAACATGTTTAAGGATGGAAATTAAATTGGAGCTGAGTGTGTCATTACGGACGACGATCAAGACCATGTGCACACGGGTACCTCTGGCTTGTTCATTCCACCTTTTCTAACCTCACTGTCAATTTTATCACTGGTCCAAACATCACCCATCCTCTGCCCAGGGCACGGGGCCTACTCTGGAGCGTCCCAGAGCTGAGTCCATCTCCACGGGCAGAGGGAACCCCTGCTCCGGGATTCGATCGGTTGAACTACCAGGTCAGCAAAGCACAGAGTTGGGAACGCAGAGCCAGGGGACCCAGCACAGACGAGGGCAAGGCGACCTATTGATAAGTGCCTGCATCATCACCATGCCCTGACACTCAGCCACAAAATGAAAGCAAGAAGGATGCCTTCCTCAGACAACAGGAGTCGAGTCAGGTGGAAGGGCTGACCTGGGCCAGGGTCCTGGCAGTCCCCTGTTATGTCCCAGCAACTCTTAGAGCTGTCGGGGCACACGGCAGCCCAGGTCCCCTCTGCTGCTCAGCTTCAGTCCTCCTCGCTCTGTGGTCACCCAGCCTCACCCTGATCCACTAAGTCACAGATGTGTCTTGGCCCTTTACGCTGATAATTTTCTGGATGAGACTTTCATGGCCTTGTCTTTATTTAAAAAATGATGCACTAGAAAGTGAGAAAAATTCCGACTGCTATTTCTGATTTAGTAGCATGAGTCCAAAACACCATGTTCACTGTAGAGATTTTTTATTTTGATTGATTCTTCTCAATTAAACACCCCATGTTAATCCCTGGAGATGAAGGCTCCTCCTTAAGAAAGGGCAGGGTGTCTTGTCAGCTGGGCAGCGCAAGGATGACTGCACCACCCTGGGGACAGACGCCTGATTCTTGTTTGAGGATGTCTTTTTAGCTCCAGCTGAATCAGAAAGCCCAAGGCCTCCAATTTTCTTCTTCAGTGCTTTCAAAGCTATATATATTGGCAACACGTGCCTGACTCCATTATTTTACCTTAGAAAAATGAAACCTAAAGAAACTTATTCTCGAGATGCTCAAAACCCCGAAAACGGAACCACTTACTATATTAACTGCTGTCTGTCCAGCAAGCATTTGCTGAGCACATCCTCTTGCTGGTGCTGCACCTTGCTGACGTGGAGGCTGCTGCAGCACACTGCCCAGGCCCTGCCCGGAGGGCTGGCCACCGACAGAAAAGCTGCTTCAGAAACTGCCACGCTTCCCCTGCTTTGTCATCGCCCTGGATTGTGCGTCCGTGGGTCCCCCCAAGAGAATGGGGTTTCTTAAGAGGCATCTTTCCTTTCTCTGTGCTTCCTCTGGGCTTAAGAGAGCACCCCTCACCTGTGCTAAAGAGTTCCAACATTGGTGCAATGTCTCATTCTCAAATCTGCAGGTCAACCAGGGTGTGTCTGCATGGACTAAAGTTTTGGACACATACCTGTCATCCTAGCATTTTGGGAGGCTGAGGTGAGAGGACTGCTTGAACCCAGGAGCTCGAGACCAGCCTGGACAACATTGAGAGACTTTGTCTCTCTAAAAAAAAAAAAAATTAGCCAGGGATGGTGGCGCATGCCTGTAATCCCAGCTACTCAGGAGGCTGGGGTGGGAGAGGATCACTTGAGCCCAGGAGTTCAACGCTGCAGTGAGCTTGATTACACCACTGCATTCCAGCCTGGGTGACAGCAACCCTGTCTGTGACCCACATAATTATCTGCATCTCCCAGTACATACTAAGACATTCCGATACTGCTATTCATCTGTCTTTTTTACATTACTTTATTTCTTTTAGAGACGCGGGGCACCATTCGGGGATAAGGTCTACAAGTGGTCATCGCACAGGCAAAGTTCGGCCTCCCTTTGGCCCCACTCGGCCTGGTGTGAGATCGGGTCCCCTGCTGGATGCTGTGTGTCCCCCTCTGCCCCCGGCAGTTTCCGGCCACTGCCAGCCCCTCTCTTCGAGAATCAGGGCAAGTGTTCAGAGTTCGCTCAGGAGCGAGAACAGGTGGTCCTCGGTTCTTTGGTCTCGCGGACTCTCCCGGGAGGGTCAGGGTTGGGGCTGTGTGGTGTGGGGCAGGGGACAGGAAACAAGGCCAGGGCCAGGCAGGCCAGGAGAAAGGGCCGAGGGTGGCACAGAGAGACCCGAGGGCTGAGCAGGGCCTGGGAAGTGAGGGGCCACCGGAGTGGGAAGGCAGGCGAGCCGGAGAGTGCTTGGGCACGTCTCCACGTGACCCAGGGCCACGCAAAGCTGTGGCCGCCCCGAGCACGGCTCCAGCCAGAGGGAGAATGCAAGCGGCCGTGCTGCTGCCCAGCCTGCGCCCTCCTCCTGAGGCCCCGGTTCTGAAGGACAGGCCCAGGAAGGAGTCCAGTGTCCTGACTTCCCTCCAGCTGGTTTGCTCATGCTGACTTCCCTCCAGCTGGTTTGCTCATCATGCACATGGACGCTCCACACAGCAACAGTTACAGAGGGAAAGAGTCCACGTGCTCAGCTAGGAAAGTTGGCTCGATAGATTAGGATACGTTGCAGGAAGAAGGTGCAGCCTTTAAAACACGGCCTTTGGAAGGATGTTGGTGAGAAACTGAGAGAGAGCTCCAAGTACAGTTTGATACCAAATAAATACGTAGACTCAAGCTGGGTGTGGTGGTGCACACCTGTAATCTCAGCACTTTGGGAGGTGGAGGCGAGAGGACTGCTGAGCCCAGGGGTTCGAGACCAGCCTGGGCAAACTGGAGAGACCTTTTCGCTACAGTAAATAAAAATTCAGCCAGGCATGGTGGTACGTGCCTGTAGTTTCAGCTCCTTGGAAGGCTGAGATGGAATGACTGCCTGAGTCCAGTGGGCCGAGGTTGCGGTGGCCACGAGCATGCCACTGCACTCCAGCCTGGGCGACAGAGTGAGACTCCTACGCAAGCAAATAAATAAATAAATAAATAAATGGACTCACATAAACAAACACCGGAAAGAACACACTAGCAGTAGTAGAGATTGTCTTGTGCTGTATGCGGGTAATGATTCTTTTGTTTCTTCTACTTCTTAAAACATTTCCCATTTTCTACATGGATAACTTGAATTTGTAATCTTTACAAGTATTTCAGGAAAGCTAACTTCAGCAGAAGGCTAGACTGACAGGAGGAGGCAATGCAGGCGTGGTCTGACGCGCACCCTCGGACGGGGAGTCTGACAGCCGGGTGGGACTTCTGGGCTCCATCCCACGCCCCGCAGGAAGACAGCAGCCCGATGCCCTCCCCACAGTCCCGGCGAGCCCCGCCACCAGCAGCCCTGCTCCCCCACTTGCCTCGCCGCTCGGCAATCTGCAGGTAGCCCGTGGAAAGGTACTGCTCCATGTCCTGCTGGAAGGCTTCCTCAAAAAACTTCTGCCGCTCCTTCAGCTTCATCTGCTGGGTGTGCTCCATGTCCAGGACCTTCTGGGCGTGTTCTGCATCCAGCTCAGCTGAGGAAACAGAACTGTCTGGGTTAGGGCTTGATAGGGGACGAAGCGGGAGATGGCACTCCAAGCTACTCACACTCCCCCCCCTCCAAGCAGATGGTGTCGCACCACTTTGACCAACGGGCTGGCACCTGACTGTGTATGCAGCCAGCCTCCTCACTCCTGTCTGCTGCACTTCTTCCTCTTACCTGGGTGGTCAGGCCCTTTGGTCCGTGCCTTTGCACGTGCTGTTCCCTCTGCCGGAATGACCTCCCACCCACATCACCCATGTGTCAACGACAAGTAGCTGTTCACCTTCCAAGAGCGGCTTCCCGGGTAGCCCCGCAGCTGGCTTGCATGGAACCTGTTGCTCCATCCTGATGTTTCCACATCCTACGTAACTGTGTGTAGCTGCCTTACAAATCACAGTACAACAGCTAAAGACTTGGAGTCCTGCGGCCATCTGTGATTCATTGTACTATCCTGCCACCCAGCTCAGTGCCTCGCACATAGTAAGCACGCAAGAGGTGTTTGTTAACAGTACCATGCACCCTTAAAAAGGTAGGAGATTCTGACATGCTACCACCCGGATAAACACTGAGGACCTTATGTTCAGTGAAATAAGCAAGTCACAAGAAAGACAAATAACTGTCTGACTCCACTTAAATGCAGTACCTAGAGTGGTCAGATTCACAGAAAGTAGAGTGGTGGCTGCTGAGGGCTGGGGAGTCGTTTAATGGGTACAGAGTTCCAGTTCTACAAGATGAAAACGAGTTATGGCTGGTGGTGATGGCTGCATGATATTACGTAGTATTTCATACCACTGAACTGTACACTTGAAACTTACTTATATATACACAAAATGGTACCTTTATGTTATGAGTATTTTACTACAATAAAAAATGATTTTTAAAACTCAGGTATGTAAAAGTAAGTATGTAGCCATGATGGTGTATTAGAAAGTACCTAGTCTTGGCTGGGCATGGTGGCTCACGCCTATAATCTCAGCACTTTAGGAGGCCAAGGCGGGAGGATGGCTTGAGCCTAGGAGTTCCAGACCAGCCTGGGCAACATTGTGAGACCTCATCTCTACAAAGAAATTACAAAAATTAGCTGAGCATGGTGGCACACATCTGTAGTCCCAGCTACTCGGGAGGCTGAGGCAGAAGGACTGCCTGAGCCCAGGAGGCCGAGGCCATGGGGAGCCATGATTATGCCACTATACTCCAGTCAGAGAGACAGAATGAGACTCAGCCTCAAAAAAATAAAAAATAACAAAGTGGCTTTACTGTTTATTGACCATACAACCAGGTTAATAAACTTTTCTCATCCACACATCTGGGATAGAAATATTAACCTAATACCAACACAAACCTGTTATGAAAAAGTACGAAACAACTTCATAATTATAGTGGCCAGTGATCCTTCAAGTTAGGCCTGAGCAGTAATACCAGGCAGAAAGTACTACCATAATCAACCTAAAGACTGGTCCTTCAAACAAGAACCCCACATTTACCAGCTGATCAACTAGTGGCTGAACCTTTCCTCAAGGCATGCAAGGAGAATACAAAATGAGATCAGGGTCACGCATGCATCATTCTTTACGTGGTACTTAGGTCAAGGAGCATTTTTAAACTTGCTTCCAGATCCTGACTCCCTTATGCTTCCCGTGGGGTCCAGGCACAGCCCTAGGGTGGCCCCAAGACCTGCGCCCTGGTGTGCCTGCCCCGGATCCCCCAGGACCGCGGCTGTGAAGGGTTTTGCCCGGGCCCCGGGGCTGCTCTGCGGCACAGCTGACTCATCAGAGGCGGGGGCCCGGGTGAGCCTGGCCTAGCCGGGTTCGTGAAGGAGGCTGGGCTTTTCCTGGAGAAGATGTGAAGCATGGGTGGGACGTGACACAGGCCATCCTCTGTGCCGGCTTGGAAATGGAGGGGCCACGTGGCAGGAATGTGAGAGCAGCCCTGGCGACAGCCGTCGAGAGAAAGGGCCTCCTTCCCCACACTGCAAGGGATGGGACTCTGGCAAGCGGACTCCTCTCCAGGGCCTCAGAAACAAACACAGCCCTGCGGCCCCTGCTGTTGGCCTCACGAGACCTGGGCGGAGGACTCTGACCCACACGCGGTGGGTCACACTGTGCCTGGACTTCTGACCCACACACTGCGAGCTGACACGTTTGTGCTTCAACTGCTAAGTTTGCGGGGTCTGTAACGCGGCAGCACGGGATCACTCCAAACAGGCTGTCTGCATGAATTCCAGCCCCTGCCCAAATCTGGTTGACTGAAGAAATGAAAAAGGACAACCCAAACTCTTTTCTTTAAGCAAGTATTTCCTAACACCCACCCTGTGGCAGACATCCTGCTTGGCTGAGTTTGGCAAGGGGACAGGGTGTTGTTACTCCAGAAAATCTAGTAATCAGAAGAAAGTTTCAGTCACCTCACCGTCCTGGGATAAACTTTACTAACACTATTTCCCCCGAGATGTTGTTCCCTCTGGTTTATTTCAGGGGAGTGTCAACATCTTTGGGGTGTTATCAAGTGACTTAGCAAACACAGCAGGTCTTACACCGGACAGTGGTCTGCAAGGCCCACACGATCTTCCCTAGGCGCCCCCATCCCCACATTCCCAGCACGCGTCATAACTCCCAAGCACGGCATGAGCCTGAACGCATGACAGGACGTAAACGCAGTGACAGAGTTTATTCATTATCTCAAAGCAGGGCTAATATCTAACACTTAGAATATTCTGAGCCGGGCTTGGTGGCTCAGCCTGTAATCCCGCGCCTTGGGAGGCTGAGGTGAGTGGATTGCCTGAGCCCGCGGGTTCAAGACCCGCCTGGGCAACTCGGCGAGACCTCATCACTACAATAAACTAAAAAATTATCCGGGCATGGTAGCACGCGCCTATAGTTCCAGCTACTTGGAAGGCTGAGGTGGAAGGATCACCGGAGCCCAGCAGGTTGAGGCTGTGGTAGCCGTGATCGTGCCACTGTACTCCAGCTTGTGCAACAGAGTGAGACTCCGACTTAAAATAAACCAAAAAACCCCCTAAGAAACCCCCCACTATTGCATAAGGTTGTTGGCAGGAGTCAATGAAGTAGCATATGTGAGTCACCGAGCACACAGTGTTGGCCAGCATCTGACAGCTCATATTAATACCTGCATTATTTAAACAACAGGCTCTGGAAAAGGGAGTGATAGGAAATATGACCAAGAACCAGCCTTCTCAGTGGCACTGAAAAATCACCCCCTCTTCACCCCACTCAGATACTTAAGAATTAGTTACCTTTCAATGTCCTTAATAAATCTGCAAGGAATTTAGAGTGTACTCATAAGAGGGAAAAAACAGAGCTGAAGAGGTTGTCTTTTCATTTGTTTCACTTCAGCTGTCAATGTATCTGTTCAAAAGCTTCATGACTGCCAAGTGCATTAGAATAAGTCAACCCTAAAATATATTAAATATGCTTCAAATACTTCAAAGTTCAGTTAATCTTCTCTTAAAAAAAATAATTCTGGAATAAGCAGCTCAAAACCAAAGATCAATGCACAAATCATCAAAGGGGTTTTAATTAAAGAATATCTTGTGTTAAATGAATTAAGATTTTATATAGATATATCATATGAAAACATTTCATTTTTCTCAAGACTTCTGCTTTAAAAGTTTTATTCTCTCATGTTTCTGAGTTATTGGTCCTTTAGTTTTTTGTCTCAGTTTTTTCTATAGTGGAATGAAATCCAATCATGTGTCAACCTTCACTGGGGAAATGAGGTAGGATTGAGAAACTTAAAATGACTTAAAAAAGAAAGAAGAAGCCGGGCTCGGTGGCTCAGCCTGTGATCCCGCACCTTTGGGAGGCTGAGGTGAGTGGATTGCCTGAGCCCGCGGGTTCGAGACCTGCCTGGGCAGTGAGACCTCGTCTCTACAATAAACCAAAAAATCAGCCAGGCATGGTAGCACATGCCTGTAATTCCGGCTACTCGGAAGGCTGAGGCGGAAGGATCGCCGGACCTCAACAGGTCGAGGCTGCGGTGGCCGGGAGCGGCCGCTGCACTCCAGTCTGGGCGACAGAGTGAGACTCCAACTCAAAAAAAAAAAAAAAAACAAGAAAGAAGAAGAAAAATAACCACTTGAAGTTTTAAAACATGCTCCTCACTAGCCATCTGAAACATCTCCAACTGTCCTGTGTCGGCTCCCACTTCATTCCAGAGCCCCTCTTACACCTCAGGACTGACCGCTGAGCCAGCCCCACTGAGGACTGTGTATAGTTGTACTACACCAGCTATATATTCGGGATGAGGTGTAAAATACTTGGCAGTGTTTAAAAAAAACTAACTGCTGCGTAGTAACTAAGGGAGACGCACCTTCAGCTAAGTGACTATGTGAGGATGCTCTGATTGTGCTGTGTGTGCTGGACTCATCAATGGAGCCTGCATCAAGAAACAACCACATTTGGGAATGGTGAGATGGTGGGAGGATATCTGAAGAAAAACATTTCAGATCTAGAGGTTTAACAGCTTCTGAATTTTAGAATTACTATTGGGAAATCTAAATTATAGAACACTTTCTACAAGGAAAAAAATGACCCCTTGTTCACATTTAAGATGTCATGTTTGTTTTTTTTTTGAGTTGGAGTCTCACTCTGTCGCCCAGACTGGAGTGCAGTGGCCACTGCCGGCCGCCGCAGCCTTGACCTGCTGGGCTCCACCGATCCTTCCACCTCAGCCTTCTGAGTAGCCAGAACTACATGTGTGTGCTACCACGCCCAGTTGATTTTTTTGATTTATTGTAGAGATGAGGTCTCACTGCCCAGGCGGGTCTCGAACCCACGGGCTCAGGCAATCCACTCACCTCAGCCTCGCAAAGGCACGGGATTACAGGCTGAGCCACTGAGCCCGGCAAGATGCCATGTTTTATAGTGAGGAATGCCAGACAAATAAAAAGATTTAAAGAACTTCAACAAATGGCCTTAAGATTAAAAGAAAAGAATCAGAACAAGATGCAGCCATTTTTTCTACCAGGAGTCAGTA